CCTGAGGCTGTAGGACAATTAATACTCAAAGGAATAAAAGCAGCAAAGGGAGTGTTTGGAATTTCTCCCAATAAAATTATTACTCCATATACTATGAATCAAATTGATGAGTTAGCTAATGAGTTAAATACTTGGGCAATAATCATGTGCAAATCTAATGTTTCATTTGATAACCACTTAGCATCTAGTCCTTTATTGTCTTTTTGGTCATTGCATCCTGCAATTTTTCCAAAAATGACAAGAAAAACACCTATTATGAATGCTCCAAATATATTCACTGATGGGTCAAATAATGGTACAGCAGCAATAGTTACACCTGATCAAACTTTTACATTTTTAGTACCCAAACAATCAGCTCAAAAGGTAGAGCTTAATGCAGTATTACAAGCTTTTGTGATGTTTAAAGATTCTGTATTTAATTTATTTTCCAATAGTCAGTTAATGCTATAGTATCCCTTGAAGATGCTGGTAGGATTTCCCCTTCCTCTACTGTTTTCTCTTTGCTTTCCACTATACAAAGTCTAATCTGGTACACAAAAGATCCATTCTTTATATAGGACATATCAGGGCACATACAGGATTGCCTGGAGCCCTTAGTTTGGGCAATGATTTAGCAGATAAAACTACACATGGCATACATATTTTCTCTACACTGGAAGAAGCTATAAATTTTCATAGAAGTTTCCATGTCAATGCTAATACTTTACAAATGCGTTTTAAAATAACTAAGGAACAAGCTAGACAAATAATAAAACAATGTCAAAATTGTGTGACCTTTTACCACAAGTTAATCTTGGAGTCAATCCTAGAGGATTGATACCTAACCATATTTGGCAGATGGACGTCACACACTTGCCAGAATTTGGAAAATTAAAATATTTGCATGTTATAGTTGATACTACTTCTGGATTTTTGATGGGCTCCCTTCATGCCAGAGAAAAACTAAAGATGTTATAGCTCATTGCTTACAAAATTTTGCCACTGTGGGCATTCCAAAACAGTTAAAAACAGATAAAGCCCCTGGTTATACTTCTACCTCTTTTAAACAATTTTGCTCATCATTTGGCATTACTCATATAACAGGAATTCCATACAATCCACAGGGACAAGGCATAGTTGAAAGAGCTCATCAAACTATTAAAATGTACTTATTAAAGCAAAAAGACGGAATTGGGAAGGGGTATATATACCCCAAAGATAAACTTAAAATAACTCTTTTTACTCTAAACTTTTTAAATTTGGATTCATCAGGACTTAGTGCTGCGGAAAGGCATATGTGTCCAAAAAATGTTCATAAGCCCAAGGTACTTTGGAAAGATATTCTAACAGGACAATGGAAAGGTCCTGACCCAGTAATTGTCTGGAGTTGGGGGTCTGTTTGTGTGTTTCCACAGGAAGAACAGCAGCCCATTTGGATTCTGGAGAGATTAACTAAAGTCTTGACCCAGTGATTGTCTGGAGTCGGGGGCCTGTTTGTGTGAGAGGCTTGTGGGAAGCCGGTGGTGGCAGTTGGGCTCTGAGGGTTTTTCCTGAGGAGCTCTTTTGTTTGGCCTGTGTGGTTCTAAAAATAAAGTTCGTTTCTTTTGACAAGTGGCTCCTGAATTGTGCCCAGCCAGACTTCGGCATTACTCTTAGGTCAAATTAGGGAACTGTCAGTCCCTCCTGTGCTCATTCTGTTTAAAGCTATAGTTCATGTTCTGATATCCAATTGTAAGCAGGATTTTCTCACAATAACATTTTTAAAAATTACACAAGTATTATCTAATATGCTCAGAAAATTTTCAAACACAAACTACCCTATCCTGTTCCCCTCGCCAGAGATTTTCTTCCCAAGTACACCAATGAATTTTATTCTTAGGGAATTTATGTGCATAAATGTGCAGATATAAAACATAAATATGTACAGATGAATGTGTCACTTTCTGCACATCTTTAGAATCACATATATGTGCTGTCACTTTTTCACTGACTACTTCTCAGAAATTGAGTGGCAGTTACAAAAGCAGCTCTGAACTAACATGATTGCAACTGGATGTGGGTCAGTCAGAAAGGCTGTCACAGCAGAAATCCGTGACATGTGAGGCACATCCTCACCTGGAACGTTCTGTGAAATGCAGACCTGCATGTGTTGCTCCCCACCAGGCAGGCCACAGCTTTTCCTGTTCTTCTCCCAGATCAGAAACTCTGCGTATCCCTTGTGTTTTCTAGTTTTGAAGTGAGTAGGTACCCATAGCAGCAAGAGTTAAGGGCCATGTCAAGCCTAGTCTTGGCTGTCTTGCCCACCCCTCACTTCACCTCCACTTTTAAAACCACCTGCCTATATGGAGGGTTTCACAAGTATTCCAGCTGTGTTTTGGAGGAACTGTCCTCTTGCTTTCTTTTTTGTACTGGGGATTGAACCCAGGGGTGCTTAACCACTGAGCCACATCCCTAGCCTTTTTTTTTTTTTTTTTTTTAGAGAGAGAGAATTTTTTAATATTTATTTTTTTTAGTTCTCGGCGGACACAACATCTTTGTGTTTTTTGTATGTGGTGCTGAAGATTGAACCCGGGCTGCACGCATGCTACCGCTTAAGCCACATCCCCAGCCCTCCCTAGCCTTTTTCTACTTTTTATTTTTTTACTTTTATTTTGAGACAGGGTCTCACTGAGTTGCTGGGGGCCTCAGTAAGTTGCTGAGGCTGGCCTCCCTTGAACTTGTGTCCCTCATGCCTCAGCCTCCCTAGTCTGTGGGATTACAGGTATCTTGTAATTGTAACACACTGCAGCTCTGGCAAACGTATTTAGGGCCTCCCCAGGGACTCCAGGCATGGGCCTGTGATACCCTGTTCTCTGGCTGCTTGTATTCTGGGCCCACCAGTGTGGTTTACGGAGGGATAGATTGCAACACTGGTGTGGCAAGGCAGTCAGGAAGAGGGTACATAGAGGTTATGTAGGGGTGGATTGAGATATGTCACCTGGTCATGTGAGGTAGCTTTGCAGTTTGTGAGGCCTCAGGATGAGAAGCACATGGAGATTGGATGGGTGGAAAAATGGACAGCCATTTGCCCAAGTGCAGAATAGTGGTTTTAATGGGCTGGGAGAAGAGCTTGTGCCAGGGAATTTGCCAGAGTAGGGGGAACACAGCATGTTTCCCGTAAACAGCAGACATCTCCTGGTCAAAAAAGTTGTGGATGTCCAGAGCCACAGCCTTACTTGGGTCCTGGGTGACAGCATGGGAGCCTCTGTTCCTACATAGTGCCCCTTAGGGGGCCCTTTCTTATGTGTGTTGATCCAGAGGCATCAGCACTTCTTCCCAACTCTCTTCCCAGAGCCACCACAGTACGTTACAAAGGGAGGAACCTGCGGATCAAAGCACCCATGTGCCGGGCCCTGAAGAAGCTCTGTGATCCTGATGGTAGGTGACCAGGGGAAGGCCAGGACACCTGTAGCTCAGTTGTTTTGTTGTTTGGTAACAGCCTGAGCTAAGAATGTTTTCTGCCGAATAGTTCTGTGCCTGGTCCAGCTGAATCCCAGTACTGCAGATAGATAGTTTATCCATTTGAAATGCAGTGCCTCCACTCAGTAGATCAAATTTAGCTCAGAATCCATGGCAGTATCAAGACAGAGGGCTCTGAGCTATTTGGAGCAGATCTTTTGTGGCCTTTGTGCATGTGTGTGAGTGGCTTCATTAGCTGCTCCCTTGCTGTGCTCCCTCTGCCTTCCTTGCCTCTGGTCCCAAGGCAGTCTGCACAGCGCTCTGATTCTGGGGAGGTGGGGGTGGTAAAGCACTTTACTTTCTGCCTTGAGGTTGATCTGCTCTGGACTTTCATGGTCTCTCCCTTTTGCAGGCCTCAGTGATGAAGAGGACCAGAAGCCAGTACGTCTGCCCCTGAAAGTCCCTGTAGAGCTACAACCACGGAACAACCATGCCTGGGCACGAGTACAGAGCCTTGCCCAGAACCCACGCCTTAGGTAATGTGGCCTTCAGCCTGAGGAGGGTCCCTGTAGTCTGGACAGGGATAAAGGGTACTGTTTGGGTTTTCCTCAGGGAGTTGATGCAAGGAGCAAGTTTCACCCTAGTGCTCTGGCGTCACTTGAGGACAGGGTGTGGGTGTGATGTTGCCACAGTAGTGGTCTGATGGGGGCCCTGCAGGTGCTGAGCTTGGCCAGGGTTCTCAGGAGTGTGAATGATAAGAGAAAGTCTTGGCCAGAGGGCAAGTGGCCGCAGAACCTTCCTCTCCTCTCTGTCCCATAAAACCCCTACTACTTCTCTCTCTCTGGCTTCCCAAATTGGTGTCTGCTGTGTGCACAAGGAACTGCTGTGGGGATGGGCTGTTTTAAACATTTTTTTTTAAATTGAGGTAGATTCACAATGTAAAATAAACCATCAGCCACCTTGAAGTTTGCAGTCACATGGCATTTGGTATATTCTCAGTGTTGTGGAATTTCCACCCGTCTGTCCAGAACATCTTCCTCACCTCAGGGCCTAGTGCTACTAAGGGTCCCCTCCAGTGCTTGTGCTCCTAGTTCCTTCCAGTCTACAGATACTGCGCCAGTGGAGTCTGCAGAAACCAGCTGCTCACACTGGGCGAGCTCTGGCACTGTTGGTGCTTTGTCTCCATCCATGTGGTGTTTATTTCCTTAGGATTGGTGAGGGCTGGCCACTCCAACCCTGAAATCCTGAAGGCACCCACAGTTCCCACACAGTGCACCCCAGGCAATGATGGGAGCAGTGTCATACCTGGTGACACTTCCTCAGTGATTGCGGGAATCTGTATTAGCTCAGCTGATAGGGCTGATCTTTAGGAGAAGGAACCTGGGTCCTATTGGTGCCCACCCTGACCCTGACAAGGCCCTGCCCCTTCTGATTTTGGATTCATGTTGTGGCAGCCTCCCTTCTTTGTCTCTTAGGATGATTGTGGAGCTGCATCGGAAGGTGTCCAGCCTTATCGAGTTCTTGAAGCAGAAGTGGGCACTCCAGGAAGTGCGAGTTGTATCTTTTCACAACTAAACAAACCTTCCAGCCTCTACAGCTCCTCCTATTTGGGAATGGGATCTCACTTCCTAGTCTTTCTTATTACAACAGGACCCTGTAGGAGCCCTTTGCCACGGGGGTTTGGGTATAGAGCCCTACTTGTCCCCTCCTTGCTGTGGTGGCATTTGGGCACACTAGCTCTCCACATTGTGACTGGCCAGCCATCTGCCCATATGGTATGGTGGAAGGACCTGTGCCAGCAGGGTGGGTGACGTGACACAGGTACAGCCCCACCTGTGTTGTTGGCTGGCTCTGACCCTCCCTGTTCCCTATGTACAGTGCGCATCAGAGGTATGAATTTCTCAGAGACCCTATACCGTGGGCCAGCGTTCTGTCTATGGCTTGAGGAAAGTCCCTAGGTCAGGGGTAAGGGCAGATCTGAGCCCCTGTGATGCCAAGGAGCAGATATGGCTTCTGGCAAGGGCCCTTTCCCCCCACCTGGCGAGCAATATAACCATGGCGTTGCTGGCAGGGTTGCTCCTTGACAGTGTACCCAGCGGAAGACTCTCGAGGAGCGGCAGCTCCCGGGCACCAGCACCCTGCAGACACAGGAGAAGGTGGCGCTGCACCTGTTCCCTGGCGAGAACTGCACGCTGACGCCATTGCCTGGTGTGGCCCGTGTGGTGCACTCCAAGGCCTTCTGCACGGTGCACTGGCAGGAGGGTGGCCGGTGCAAGCAGAGCACCAAAGATGCCCATTCGCTACCCCCAGCCCAGATCCTGGGCATCCAGAGTGGGCAGGGAACAGCCCGGGGCCAGGTGAAGTGCCCAAGGGGTGGCACTGAGGGCAAGGGCGGTGGGCGGCCCCCTCCTGCCACCGATGTGTTGCAGAGTTCTGGAGAGAGTTCCCCTGAAAGTGCCCCTGGGGAGGGGGCCACCCCAAGTCTGAGCAGCCTGGACGCTCCTGACAGGCCTCCCCCTGGGCATCAGGACTCCGGGCCAAGTCTCGAGAAGACCCCTGCAGCAGCTCCTGCAGAGGGCAGGGATGGCCTCATCAGAGAGCCGGGGGCCCTGCCGTGTGCCTGCGGCCAGCTCCCAGACCTGGAGGATGAGCTGTCTCTCCTTGACCCCTTACCCCGCTACCTGAAGTCCTGTCAGGACCTCATCGTCCCGGAACAGTGCCGCTGCACGGACACGCGGCCTGGGAGAGATCATCCTCTTCCTGGCAGGGCGGCCTCCCCTGAGGCTCTCACCCCCAGCAGCAGGGAGGCTCCTGACCTCACCTCCCCTGGCCCAGACCCTCAGCCTGGCCCTAGCCCTGGGCTTCCCCTGGATGTTTGCACTAAAGACCCAGCAGATGCACCTTCAGAGGAGCCCCAACAGAAGGGAAGCCCTACAGAGCCTCTGACATCTCAGGGACAGCCTGCCAACAGGCCCCCAAAAGAGGTCCCTGCCAGCCAGCTAGCCCAGCAGCTGCGGGAGGAGGGCTGGAGCCTGCAGACGTCTGAGAGCCTCACACTGGCTGAAGTCTACCTCATGATGGGCAAGCCAAGCAAGCTGCAGCTGGAGTACGACTGGCTGGCTGTGCTAGGCCCTGAGAGCCGGGCCACCCGCCCATGTCCCCCCGTCCCCCATGAGCAGCGCCTCCTGAACTGCCTCTTGAGGCTCATCTCCACGGAGGTCAACCCCAAGCTGGTAAGTGGGTCAGTGTGGCCCTTCAGGAAGTGTACCCGGGCCTTGATCAGACCTGGTCATGAAGGTGGCTGCAGCTTGAGCAGTGAGGTGACTCCTGGGTAGACCCAATGTCAGGGCTGTTGGGGGTGAGTGAGTTGTGACCAGATGGATTATGAGTTCATACAGGTTTGGCTTTACATGGAGAGAAGTGACATAGTTGAGGAACCTAGGGGAGGAGGAAGCACAAGGTGTGGAGCATGGTGGGCAAGAAGCTCAGCAGAGGCACTCACATTAGGGCCTGCCAGCAGCTCAGCATCACCTGGAATTTAGACATGCAGCTTCCAGAATAGCGCCGAAGACTGTAGGGATAACCCCAGGTGACTCTATGGAATACAGGTATAGAGAAGACGGGCCTGTGGCTCACTGAGATTGGAGACCTTGGGTCAGAGATGGGGGCCTGTCCTATGGCTTTCCATCCTACTGCAACTCCTCCTTCCCTGGTAGAGCTGTGATAAGTGCCCCGCAAGGCCCAAGACACGGGAGATTGGCAGAGTTGGGAGAAGTAAGGCAAAGGAGACAGACCCTGGGACTGGTGGTGCTGTGGGAGCTATGGCTGTGTAAATCTTTTCTTCCTGTGACTCAGAAGAGTTCTGTAGTCTTACACTGGCTTTTTACTGTGGGTGTTTTAAAAGCAGTGTTCTCTTCCACTGCCCAGTACCTCCTCCCTGCAGCTGGGCCCTGCTCAGAGTGGGTGAAACCTTTCCCCGCACTGAGATCCACCTGCCCATTCTCACCACTCATGAAAGCACTGGAGACATACAGGGGCTCTCCCAAGCAGGGGAGCAGTAGCTTTCATTATTTATCTGGCTGGTGATTTGTACTTTTGTTTCTCTTTTTCCTTTTCCTTTTCTTTTCTTTTTTTTTTTCTTTTTTTTTTTGGGGGGGGGGACCAGTGATTTTTTGAGAAACTGGCCAACTGCTGAGTGATTTTGGGGATGCCAAGGTCAGGTATCTTTGACACCCCGACCTTTGCCATCATGGAAATAAGGCTCTGATCCCTGCACCATCTTCCATATTCTGAAGGGTGTACTCACACCTCCTTGGGGCACTCACATCAAAGTTATTATTTATTTTTTGTGTGTGTGTGCTGAGTTGGGACATTTTTGGCCGATTTCTGTCCAGGCTCCAGAAGCAAACGCCACATCCACGGCATCCTTGAGGCCTGCCCAGGAGGAGCAGTCAACAACCCCCCCAGGGAAGGTGGTGACCATCAGTTCCCGGAGTCCCCGCTGCCCTCGAAACCAGTCTGCCCTCCGCAGCAGCAAGACCTTCCCATCTGGTGCTGCACCTTGCTCCCCAGGTGAGGGTCATGGTGGTTTGACAGGGTCAAGGACTGTGCTGAAGCTAAAGGCACAGTTGTCTGAGGCTGCCCTACTGTCTGGTCAGCCATGGTCCAGTGAACGGCATGGAAGCCTGTCATAAATGGCCTGAGTCATGGGGTCCTGGAGCCGCCAAGAAGCAGAGGACGAGATGACTTTTGGCAATGTGGATACTTGGGGGCTCTTACATTATAAAGCCCTAGAAGCAGCTATGTCATACTGAGTTGGTGGTTCATGGCCTCTGAGGAGAGTTGGTTCTTTCTAAAGCTTTGTGGACTGTTTTTCTTTGCATGTAAGGCATTAGAATAAAGATTCTGGTTAAGGAACATGCCAGCAATTGAACAGTCTTGAAAAAAAGACAAGAGTAACCTACCACAGTGGACCCTGCCCCAGCCATAACTAGGAAATAAATTTTTTTTTTTGCTGGTGCTGGGGATGGAACCAGGGCCTTATGTATATTAGGCAGGTGCTCTACCACTGAGCTGTACCTCCAGCTCCAGGTAGCTAATTAATAAATTCTGGCTCTGCATGCGTTAGACCCCAAGGTAAGCATAATGCATGTCCTGGGCATCAGTACTACTTGGTTAAGCCTGTGGTGTTTTATAAGTAAGCTGGTTATTGCAGCTGGAGTGGTGGATTCCACATGAGTGCCTGAGGGGAGAAGTATGAATGCTCTCAGGTGCCCTTTCCTGCCCTGGCAGAGCTGGGTATCTCAGATGAGTGTGGGCTGTATTCACTCCTCTAGCCTAGGAGAAGCCGTGCAAGTCTTCCCAGGATTGATCCAGGAGTGGCCAGGGACTCAGCGACTGCCCTGGAGTAAGGACTGGAGTGCTTCTGTTTGTCCTAAGCCCCTAAGTCCTCCTCACACTTCAGCATAAAGGGTGTTGTCATGGATACCGTAGGCAGATGCCTGCCTAGTACCTGTGTTCTGACAGTGGTGTGCATCCTGGAAGAGACAAGTTTGCCTCACTCCCTGGGGAGTTGGCATCAGGTTAGACAAGATGTGGGCATACAAGGGCATACCAAAAAATACAGTGACTTTTCAGCTGAACTTAGTGTCCTGGTGTGTTAGCAGTTCTCCAGGATTATTTTCCATTCACAGAATGTCATTGTTTTTATATTTTCTCTGATTTACTGTGTTGCCAGTGACCTGCCTGTAGAAGATTATTTCCTGCCAGGTACAGTGGTACATATCTGTAATGCCAGCTACTTAGGGAGGCTGAGGCAAGAGGATCACAAGTCCCAGGCCAGCCTTGAGAACTTATTGAGACCCTATCTCAAAATGAAATAGAAAGGGCTGGTGATGTGGTTCAGTGGTAGAGCATCCTGGATTTCATCCTTAGAACAAAGGGGAAAAACAGAAGTCCCATTTCCTTGAGAGTCTCACTTGGTGGTCTTTTTTTTTTTTTTTTTTTTTGTGGGGTGGATGGGGAGGGTGTTTTGTTTTGTTTGTACCTTAGATTGAACTCAGGAGTACTTTATCACTGAGCCACATTTACAGCCCTTTTATTTTGACAAAGGGTCTGGCTAAATTGCCTTTGTGGCCCCCCTCCACCCACCCCCCATCAGCCTCACAGGTGGCCAGGATTAAGGCATAACCCCTGCTAGGGCGTCCTGGTGGTCTTTGATCAGACCTGGGCTGCTGCTGAGTTGGGGCACAGTCTCCTGCAGATGCTTGTTTTATTATTCTTCACCTCTTTCTGTTTCCCTCCAGAAGGTGCTGCAAAAGCCAACCTTCCCTGCAGATAGGCATGTTCCCTGATGAGGGCCAGCTGGTAGTTGACCCAGCCTGTCCTGCCTCCTGCTTCTACTTGTAAATTTCTTAGTTCTGTGTCCTCTTTAATTGTCTCTTTCTGGATGGAGAACACTTACAGAGTAGTGGGGCTGCAGTTCTGAAACTCACCCTGATGCTTCATGAGCCCAGACTGTGGACTCTTTGAGTATCAGTGCAGTCTCACAGTTTTGTTAATAGAGAGTAAGGGGCGGGGCCTGGCCAAGAACGCAGAAGGGTGCATTCCAGGGAGAGCACTTTTTAAATAGTGCTTTCTGTCCTATTACTTCAGGATCTGTTTTCCATAAAATTAGAGATTAGATCAGGGGTCAGCAGATGACAGATCCACCTATTGACCCCCTTTGGTAAATTGGCATGTTGGCTCTCAGATCCTTCTGTCACTTTGGGTTTGTTTGGGATTCCCTAAAGGTGCTGCTAGTTCTGAGAAGTCCAGCAGTGGATGGCCCTGTCCTGTCCACCAAGTGTTGACCATTTGTGGCATGCTTGTCCTCTAGGAGGCCTATGGTTTCCTCATTGGGGACAAAAACCTCCATGAGCAAGAAGGGCCATGTTTCCAGGGATGAGATGCAGGCAGCTGAAGAGCCGTTGCAGAATTCCTTCCAGGTTTTCTACCCAACAGAACTCCCTTCACTCTGGAGAGGTTGTGTGGAAGAGTGTTGGCATGTGGCTTTCCCTTCTCCTTTCCAGGTTTAAGGAATCCCCCAAGGCCCCTCTTGGTGGCTGGTCCCTCCAGTACAGGAAGCAGTGACTCAGATGGTGGCCTCTTTGCTGTCCCAACGACTTTGCCACCCAACAGCCGACATGGGAAGCTCTTCTCCCCCAGCAAAGAAGCAGAGCTGACGTTCCGGCAGCACCTAAACTCCATCAGTGTGAGTGCTGGGCCGGGCGCCTGCGTGCCAGGCCGGGCCACCATGCCATGGAGGGCACATCCTCAGGGCTGGTGTGCTGTCTCCCTTACAGATGCAGTCAGACTTCTTTTTGCCAAAGCCCAGGAAACTGCGGAACCGGCACCTGCGGAAGCCATTGGTGGTCCAGGTGAGGACCTCACATGAGTCCACGTGCCCCTGGCTCTACCGCTGGCCCAGCTAGCCAGCACACACTGGGTTTCTTCTGTGACTTAGGATTTCAGGGTGTAAAATAGGGGAAATCACTGCTGCTTCTTTTCCTTATGAATGGGAAAAGTAAAATCAAAAATAGTGAATTTAATGGTGCCTATAAGTAAAGATAGTCTTTGAATTGCATTGAAAATTATGAGCAGAAAAGACAAAAGTTCTGGGGTCCTGGTTCTAAGAACGTCTGAGCTGGGTTGGAAGTCTTGGAGGACTTCCCAGGACATGATGAGACACACTGAGCTGGTGCCAGCAGTCAGCAAGGAGTAGATTGATAGGCCTGGCCTCTGCCAGAGTGCTGGGTGGAGGGAGTGCTGGGTGGACCTTCCAGGGCCACATTCAAGCTCCAGCAAACAGGGTAGAAGGGAAGCTGCAATTTTGAAGTAATTATGGCCTTAGAAATTCATGGGTATATTTTTTGGGGGGATTAATAGGTTTCCTTTTGTTAGACTGTTAGACATCTTTTTCTCTCTTAAGATTAGTTCTTTTAGAAGTAAGAATTGCGCAAAAGATCTTAGGAAGGAAGATGCCCATGGTTTATTTTATTTCTCTTTACCTCTGCTTTGGGTTCATACTAACATTTAATTTTTGTATTTTAATCCTTTTCTCTGGCAGTGGTGGGAAAGTCCCCGATTGGGCATGAGCTTCATGGCCGTTGAGTGCAGGGCTCAGTACCACCTCTCGTGGACTAAGTCCAGCCTGCTATTTCTTATTTAAGACAGATTTATTTGTGACTACACATTCTATAGTGTTTATCCATTTAAGGAGCACACTTGAGTGCACTTCAGTGTTCTTTCACTGTGTTTATGGATAGGCACAGCCACCACTGCCCACTCCAGAGCATTTTCATCTCCCAGAGGAAACCCAGTACCTCTGAGTGCTCCCCGGCTCCCTGCAGCTCGTGGCACCTAGATTTCACTGTTCTGAGCATTTCCTAATGCCTGATCATATTCATGCTTTTTAACATTTTTGCAAGTAAAGCTTTATTGACACACGTTCTGTGATTCATGTCAGTCCTGCCTGTTGCTACTTTCCCAGTACAAGGGCAGGGTCAAGTATGGGCTAAAGTCTAAATATTTCCTGCTTGGCCCTTTTCAGAAACAGTCTTGTCTAGCACTGGGCCAGGCTTTGGAGCAGTGGGCACAGAGCATGTGTTGGGTTGTGCGTGAGTCCTTGGCATGGCGCTGCTGTCTCCGGCCGCACCTGCCCTCTGATCTTTGCCAAAACCAGTGCCAGGTAGATCTTTGGGTGAGGAGAGGCTTTATATGACCCAAGTTTTCTGTGCACCAGCAGAGAATGGCAGCTGTGCCATTCTCTCTGGGCTGAGGTGTCTAGGGACACTTTTGGGTTGACAGTTTTTTTTGTTGTTGTTGTTTTTCCTGTCCTGAGGGTTGGCTCTAGTGGCATCTACCACTGAGCTACATCTCCAGCCCTTTTTATTTTTTATTTTGAGACAGGGTCACTGAGTTGCCTAGGCTGACCTCTACTTGTGACTCTCCTGCCTTAGCCTCCAAATCACTGGGGTCACAGGCCACTGTGCCAAGCTTGGCAGATGCTCTCTGTGAATGTTCTGTGGCCACTACCAATTTGGGTGGGTGATGATTTTCTGGGGACTATTGTCACAGAGAGGTACCCTCAGGAGGAGCCCTGTGAAGAGGCGTTGGGTGCCCCTTCTCCCCTCTTGCCATGGCTGCATGGAAGCCAGCTCAGGCTCTGTCTCATCCTGTACCTGGGACTGTAACAAGTGTGTGTGTCATGGGGGACACCCACCTAATTCAGAGGGGTTTTCTGCACACAGGGCAGGTTATGCAGCACTCCTTGTTTTTGCTAATGAAGGTCCAGTTCCCTGGGAGGACCTACTGTTCTGGGACACGAGGCCTTCCTTAGTTACCCAGTTTGGGGAGTGATCTCTTTCAGCATTGGAGTCTTACCGCCTTGATAATTTACATTTTCTCTTCAGAGAACGCTGCTCCCCAGACCATCTGAAAATCAGTCCCACAATGTGTGCTCTTTCTCCATCTTGTCCAACTCTCCTGTTGCTGGTAAGAGCTGGGGCCTCTCTGGGCCTACTTTCCCTCCTCTTCATCTGAGTGTGGCCTTGCCTGGAGACGGCACTCTGCCTCACATTTCTAGTGTTCTGTGTGGATTCCATTGGCACAGGCCTGTCAGGCCAGCTGCAGTAGCTAGCAGGGCAGAGGCCTCTGGTGGGTGCATCCTTGGGGATGGGCTCAGCTGGCCTTTTTGGCACCTTTGCTCAGTCAGTTCATTGGCGCAACAAGGCACTTTGTGGAGTAGTGGTGTTCTTGGGGTCTGTGGATTGTGCCCTTGTATGTCAGTGACTGCAGTGAGGGGGCTGGCGCTTTGCAGTTCTCTTACACCCTGAGAATTTTTCAGTGAAGCCCCTGTTCTGTGGACAGAACTGGTCTTTTTTACATTTCATGTGTACTTGCAAGTCCCATCAGCTTCCAATTGCTTTCTCATGCTAACTTTTCAACTGTAAAAGACCTAGCAAAGTACAACCAAATGATAGTGGCAGAGTGTCAGTCCAAGGCCTGATGCGTTGGCCACCCCTGAGGTGCCCATAGCTCATTTAAGGGGATGACATAAGATCTAGCTGTGTCTGTAGAGGGCATAGGCAGGCCAGGATGATGTATCTGACTCTGTCTTCCCCCTTACAGGAAGAGGCTCATTCCGGCCCATCCAGTCATCTTTGACCAAAGCAGCTCTGTCTCGGCCAATTGTGCCCAAGGTCCTTCCACCCCAGGCCACAAATCACTTGGCCAGTAAGTCTGCAACCTGCATGGTGACAGTACTGTGTGAGGTTCCTGAGTAACGTTTTTGTCACAAGGCATTTTATTCTTTTTTCTCTCCAAACCTTGATGTTTCCTTACCCTTCAAAGGGAGCCATTGGCTCTTGCATCCAAGTGAGGTATGAGGGAGAGGCTCTCCTGAGCTTTCTCCTCATGCCTTGTGGAGACACAGAACAGAGGTGTGATCTCCTGCTCCTGTTTCCAGGTGCAGTTGACTTGGCAGCCCAGAGTGCAGGCATTATCCCTGGGAGCCCCCTGCCGGTCTTGGCTACCGAGGGCTTGTCTGGCATCTCTCCACTCTCTTCAGATGAGGTAACAACCACTGCCCCGGGCCAGGATTCCAGTGGACCCCAGCAGAATGGAGACCCCGTTCCCCCTGTGGGGGTGAGTGTGTTCACAAGTGCTGCTCAGCATTGCAACCAGCATCTTAAGTAGAAGCAGGACATGGGGCTGGGTTCTGGCTGAGAGGCTGGAGAAGCCACTGTGCCAGGGTGTGAGTGTGTGCCATGGAGCGTAGGCCAGGAGAGGCAGGCCTCAAGGGTTGCTGTGGGACACTTAAGGATACACAGCTCAGACATATATGGCAAGGTAGCTCTGAGCCACACCCAAGTTGGATGACAGCCAACTCGAGACCTCCCTGTGCTGGCATCACAAGCACTTGATGCATTGGAGGAGAGTGGTCTTTATGGCCCTCCCTCCTGATTGTTCTGGAGCTCTAGTTTCCTGGCCTACTTGGGAGCTGCCTGAGGAGGGCAGGTAGGTCAACCCTGTGGAGCTCTAAGGAGCCCAGCCTGCTTGAGATTTTAAGCTGATTTCTTAATGAGCCTTGAGTTTGCTTTTTGAAACATCAGTTTTAATTGCAGGGCTCATGGCCTGACAGTGTTTGTGCAGCACTCCAGTCTGAAGCACAACTTGTCATTGGCACCTGGGGTGCTAGGAGGCCCAGGAGCCTGAACTGCTCTGTGGAGCACAGCCAGGCTAGCGCTAGCCCATGGGTAAGCCACTTAGCAGCCTGTCTCGTGTTCCCGCAGGGCACAAGGGACCCATTCCTCAGCATCCCCTCTAGGCCAGAGCAGGAGACAACAACAGACAGCTTCCAGGTAGAGTATGCATCAGCGCTGAGTGACAGACACACTGTGGAGCTCAGTGACTTCTCCTTTTGCCCACCTTGACTGCTGCCTTGTGAATGGCAGGCTAACTCCCAATTCTGTCTACTCAGATCTGGCTTCCGGGCCAGGGAGGAGGGGGTTGTCTGATGGTGACTGCCCACCTGGCAACCACTCACCACCTGTGTGTCCACAGTTGAGCTGTGGGCTGTGATCGAAGCAGGGCCTGGCTACCTCAGCCTGACCTCCTGGCTTGGGCACTGCTAGCACCCTGCGCTATTGCCCAACTGAACCTTAGGTTGTGCTTGTCTTTTTGTTTGGGTTCTGAGTGGCCCCTTGTGTCTGAACAATGCCTACCTCTCAGCAGGGTTCATCTGTTCTCTCCTTAACCGAGCTGCCCAAGACTCCTCCCCAGAATGGCCTCTGTACCCCTCTGCGCTCAGAGGGCTCCAGCGCCCGACTCTCCCCGCCCAACGTCTCCGCATTACTGGACATCTCCCTGCCTGGCCCCCCTGAGGATGTGCTCTCACAGGGGGAGCCTGCCACGCAGATCAGCGACTCCATCATCGAGATTGCCATCAGCTCTGGCCACTATGGTGAGAGCAAGTGGCCTTGTCATCCTTTCTAGAATCCGGTTCCCACCAGCCCAGGCAATCAGACTTGCTTTGAGGGGTCTGGCTCTGCCCCCACCTACTTGCCAGACTTGCTGGGAACATTCCAGTCCAGCTGTCATTCTTGAGCATCAGGTTTCTGCAGCCTACAGGAGTTGCTGTGGCTTCAGGGAAGGTGCATGTAGAACTTTAGACTGCTAGTGGTCTGGTAGGATTGCTCCTGACCTTGAGATGAGAGCCAGAGGGCCCCTGAGGCCCACTGCAGTCCAGGGGTCCAAAGGAGTCCTTTCCTGGTTAATTGTGATCCTGGCAGACAGTTCAGGAAGTAGCTGGATTTTGTGTCAAGGCTTCAGTCCTCCTTCTGTAGAGCAGTGGTCCTGGTGGCTGTGGTGTGTCCCTTGGTGATATGACTTAGGTGCAGGTTCAGACAAGGTGAGTTCACAGCCCCCCAGCGTGTCTGACCAGGGCTGATGCAGGCATTATGGAGAAGGTATATGCTAAGCTTTGGGCACAGGTCTTGGCCCTATGCCAGTGGATGCTGCTGTTGCTCTCCTCTGAATCATGTCCTTTCTGCATCACAAAGCCACCCTGAAGATTCTGTGGTCCTTGCCTACTGACTCTTATTGACCATGCTGGTGTCTTGGGTCTCCTTTGTTCACCAGTGCACAGCCCCTCTCTCCTGCTGCCTCCTTGCCTGTGAGTTGGGAAAGCATCTTTGACCCTGGATTTTGATTCACAGGTGAAGGAGTCCCTCTTTCTCCAGCAAAACTGAACGGCAGTGACAGTTCCAAGAGTCTTCCCTCCCCATCCAGTAGTCCTCAGACCAATTGGATTGCCTCTCCCACCCATGACCCCCAGTGGTACCCCAGTGACTCCACAGACTCCTCACTCAGCAGCTTGTTTGGTGAGTATCTAGGAAATGATCTGCTTTCTCAGGCCAGCAGGGATTGGAGTCAGGAAGGTGCTGTGTTCTCACACATGAGGCATGAGTGAGGTGGGAAGTACATAACTTCTCAGTGTCCGCTCACCATGAGCTTTGACAGGTGTGTGCACCTGGTGGCCCACAACTTGTTGGAGGCTGAGCACTCTTTGTGTTCTTAGTTGCCCCTTTAGTCCAGCCTACCCGCCCCTCCACTCCCCATTGGGCCTCCTGCCAGTCTTGGCTGAGGTCAGAAGAATTTGGCCGTCTTTGAACTCTCAGCTTCTCTCTTTGTGTGCTCCGTAACATATTCTGAAGTGGATGTTGCCATCTTGCAGCACGGTGTCAACCACACATGAGAGCGTCACAGGATGTGTCTGCCCTCCCCCGAGCTGTTTGCTCCCTGGGTTCCAGTACTAGTTAGAGGGAAGGGGCATGCATGCAGGAAAAGATACACGTGCTGCCCTTGCCTGCGATGGAGGAGCTTCTGTAGCACATCTGGGATTAGTCCTCTGGAGGCTTTAGACAGTGTGAACCCAAGGGGGTGGTCATCTTGACAGCAACCCGGAGCAGGGCATATTGTGCACACAGTGAACTTGGTTGGTCCTGACTGTGGACACAACTGGGCAGGGGGGGCTCTGGGTTTGGGAGTGCAGAGGAGCCAGCACCCCATGATAGGTTCCTGTTGTCTTCAGTAACAGTACAGAGTCAAGTACAAATCCTGACAGTTGAGAACTGCCTTTGTGCCTGTTCTAAGGTTCTGACATAAAGGGTCAAAAGTTTTGTGTGTGTTGGAGGATCTGAGACAGTGCAGCACTGGGGACCCTGGCAAAGGACAGGCGTATTTGGCTCTTAGGTCATTATAAGATAAGCTAGTCCACAGGCTGTAGTTGTGGCTCAGTGGTAGAGTGCTTGCCTGGCATGTGTAAAGCGCTGAGTTCGATTCTCAGCACCATATGTAAATAAACATAAATAAATAAAGGTACACCAACTAAATATTAAAAAAGAAAAGAAAAGCTAGTCTAGCAAGAGCACAGCCCTTTGCGTAAGTATGCAGGTGGAGGCCCACAGGGGACCTGGCTTGGTGGCCAGCCAGCCCTTATGTTCATCTCCTATATTCAGTGTTATCCTTGGTCTTCTCCCTGCAGCCAGCTTCATCTCCCCAGAAAAGAGTCGGAAGATGCTGCCGACTCCTGTTGGAGCTAACAGTGGCACTTCCTTGCTTGGTCCTAGTTTGTTGGATGGCAACTCACGGGACTCATTTGTGTCCAGATCCCTGGCTGATGTTGCGGAGGTAAGTGTGCTGCCATGAACCTGAGCTTTACTGCCCAGCCCCAGTTCCTTCCTGAGACTGGCAATTAAAGACTGCTTGCCAAGCAGTGACAGACGGAGAGTTTTCAGGCCTCAGACCCAAGTCACCACTGGTGCCTGGAGGGCCTGGGAAGCCTAGGCCAGTGCAGAGTGGGTCTCTAAAGCCCTCGTTGTCCAGAAGTTGATCTAAAACACCTGTGGGGGAATGGTCTGACATGGGATTTCAGTAAAGGACGGAGTGAGCAATTTATTGGGAGAGGTAAAGTTGGCATGGCCGTGTGTTGAAGAGGACAGAAGCTGGTGCCAAGTGCCTGGGGGAGGGGCTCACTATTTGCTCTACTTTTTGAAACAAATTTCAGTTTGTTCATGAGAAGTTTAAAATTCAGTGGATGCAGTAGCTCTTCTTGGAACCCCAGAAAGTTTTCTCAATCATTTACTAATCGTGCAATTTGTTAACGAGTATCTATTCACAGTCTACTCTGTGCAGATACTGCTACAGTCCCCTGTGCTCAAGAGGAGTCTGCCCCACTGGCAAAGGCAGACAGTAAACCACGGGGGCTGTCAAGCCCACATTTTGCCTCCAGGATAAAATCCTAGCCCTTGAATCCCTGCCAGAGTCCTGCATTCTCCCTAATCTGCCGCTCTCTGTCTTGTGCTCTGTGTCAAGTCCACTGTCTTTCTTGTATTTCTTGAACAGCCTGTACATACCTGGGGTCTTGCACTTGCCGTTTCTGTGGATGGAAATGTTCTTTCCTCACACCTTCTTGTGACTTACTCCCACATTTGTCAACTGTGACGCCTTGGAGAGTCCTCCTCTTGACTCCACCCCCAAGACAGGCTCTCTCCCCTGCTCTGCCTTCCAGCTCCTCCTCAATTTCTGCCTTCCATGGTGTACTGTTTGCTATCTGTGGACTCTCTCCACCATGTCTCAGGAAGGAGGGGCTGCCAGCAGCCAGATGTACCCAGTTCCCACTGGGTTCTCCAGGGAAACTCGCAGGAAGCAAATTTTCAGACCACAGAGGGACAGCAATCTAGGTTTCCACTGATGTCCACTCTTGACTGCTAGTTGCTGTCATTTCAGATAGCAGGCCACAGTCCTCTGATTTGGTCTGCCTTTGTTCCCTCTCCTATAGGTGGTGGATTCCCAGCTGGTGTGCATGATGAATGAGAACAGCATTGATTACATATCTCGGTTCAATGACCTGGCCCAAGAGCTGTCCATCACTGATCCTGGCCGCCGAGAGGTTCTGTTCGACAGTGGTGGAGGCGGCCCCCCGGTTGGTGACCTCTCCCAGTGACCGCACCTTATGGCAACGGAATCCTGAAGCCACAGAGGAGGACTTACTGGGCTGGCTGTGCTCATTTGTGGCAGACAAAACCCTCTTCAAACTACAGAGAAAGCAAGTCAAGTCCAGAATCTCTAGAAGATAGTCACAGGGGCACATCTGTACCCTAGAATGTGCATCATGCGGGAACAGCTGGTCACAGGCCTATCCCAACAAACGGAAGCTTAGACATCCCGGGAGGCTAGAACCCACCCTGAGAATGGTTGATATCAGAGACTGCTGTGGTGTGGGAATGGTTCCTTGCCTTCCTGAAGCCTATGCTAGTCTGAGTGGGGATATCCAGTACTGTGCCTCCACTGTGGTGCTGGGCAGTCCAGAGCTTGCATTTCAGAAGGGTTGTGCGTTGGTATGGTTATTGTGTGTTGGGAGATTGCTGCTGCAATCTCTGATGCTCCTTCACCCCACTTGGCTCCTCTGTGATAGTGTTAAAGGGGACTGTTGACACAGCTCAGGCTCCTGCTTGGTGGTGTCTGCACCCCAAGGCTGATGACAGGGCAGGGTTGGGGGTGTCCCAGGACAGCATATCCAGTGCCATCTCCCGAGAACACTGACCCTTTCCTTCTGCTTCCCCTGTCCGGAGGGTTTGTTCTGACTGGTGTAATAGGAAGGGGGAAGGGAATCATGTCTTAACGCAGGTTTTGTGTATGTTTTGTAGGACTTTGTTAAGCTGGTTGAAAATGTTTTTCTTGTGTTTTAAGAATTAGGAGACACAGACAAGAAAAAACAGAGTCCTTTGTGTAGCTGGTTTCCTCCTCGTGTCCCCCTGAAAGTTCCTTTCAGGTGATCTGAGATGTCCTTTACCTTTACAGGACTGATACCCCAGGCACTAACATGACTGCAGGCCAGACTTCACTAATGGGTCTTGGAGCTTCTCCCGAGAGGTTCTGTTAGGCACCTGAGGCCAATCTGCCTAGCAGAGAGGACATCCTGTTTGTCCTTCAGAGGCTCCTCCTCCTCTTGCTGACATTGTTACAGGATGTCCCCCATACATTAAGTCCCTTGGCATGCTTTTGCACTGAGGCCCCAAGTTTCTTCTTCCTAATTAAGGGGACCTGAGCAGGATTTGGATTTATCTAAGAGCTCACCACCCTGTGATCTTCTGGTGACTCCCTCCTGGATCCACACAGAGGCTAGTGGGTATTTCTGGAGGTAGCCTAGCATCTTTTCTTTCCCTAGGATGGAGCTAACAAGGCTCCTCTGCCTTCTCAGCTTCAGGAAATACAAGCTTATAAACCACCCTTTAGCCATATGTGGTGTGGCATGGTGCTGGGCAAGTGAGGCCTATGCTGCCCCCACTTGGTTACCCTTCACCCAGTAGCCCTTTCTGACCCACCTCCTTCCATCTCTGCTCCTGACTCTCCTTTTCCCCAACTTGTCCAGTGGCATCTAGGTCAGCCCTGACCCCCATTGGTCTCTCCCCATCTGTAGTAAAAAAGGGAGCCAATGTGCGGAGGGGAAGGAAAGAACTTTGGTGTGGACCTTCTCCATCCTGTGGTCTCACCAGCTGCTGCAGCGGTACTGGACTGCAGGCACCAGTGGAAGACACAGAGGGACATCCTCCCCCTCCCCTTCCCAGGTTCCTCCTGGCACTGGTGCCTGTGAAGAGGCCTCTTGCCTCCAGGGCCTGACAGAGCTTGTGCTGTGGCCCCTGCTCTGTGAGTAGTTGAGAAGGGGAATGTGGTGTTTGGTCAGCGGTGTTTGAACACTTGGTTGCATGTGGTGTTCCATGTGGCTTCCTGAATTCAGCACCTTGCTGAGCTGAGATCAGTATGTCTCTCTGGGTCTGTACTACAGGTGAGGACCCGAGGCTGTACCTGATCCGCCACTGGAGGTGGTAGAATCCATTAAGCATTGTGTTAGCAGCATGCTGGCCAACCCTTCCCTAACTGCTTCCCCTGTAGAGTACCTTGAGACACCACACCCTTTGTCCTACCTGTAAAAGGAGCAGAACTATGGAGATTAGGATCCACTTCTGTAGGCTTTTGGTGTAGCAGCACTACCCAATTGTGTAGACTGCATTTGGGAGCCCCGAATACAGCACTTGTCACCCAGTGGCAGGCAGGTTAGGGGGTGGAGTGGACTAACTGTCCTTTCTGAAATGAAGCTGATGGGATTCCAGAGAATTCTGCATTTTCACTAGCATTTGCTTACTGGGTTAAGGGGGAATTGTCATTCGTAGCAGAGAAAGTGGAGGCCTTTTCTCCCATCCCAAACATTTATGTTAGGCAGCTGCTAAAAGACTAGCAGAGAAGCCTTCTAGGCCCTGCATCTTCCAGTGGAGTAGTGGTAGTGCAGTATCTAAGATCAGTTTCTTAGAAAAATCTTTCCCTGATCCTGCTGATGCCTGGGAACTTCGTGCTGTTCTGTCTTTTCTAAAGATGAAGAGAAAGTACCTCTGCTATCAAGGAAGTTGGTGTTTGGCCTCATTCTTTACTGTGACTATAGAATAATGAGCTTGCTGCCCTTGAGAAGATGCTTGAAGCTTGTGCTTCTTTCTATACCTTGTAGTGGTTAGGGTGCTTGCACAGGGAGTGGGGATCTTCGGGGACCTTTCTTCAGGCTGTAGATCTGCTTCCCGTACCTGCAGGTTCTTAGCATGGGACTCCTGGAGTTTTGTCTGTTTTTTCATTCTTACGGTGACCTCACTGTCAGTGGAGGTCCTTTTTAGTTTGAAGATCACACCTTTGAGTCAACTTGCTGTACAAGACACTGGAAAAACAAGTGAGGAGGGGAATAGTTATATCTGCTTCTTGAACACTAAGGTCTGTTACATGTATCTGTGAGGAAATACAGCAGTTTGTCTTATGGGGGAAAAACGGAAAGGTGAAACAAAAAAACAAATCCACAGTACACTTTCCCAGCTGTCCGGCTCGCCACATCTCCCAGTAACTTGTCATGTGAGGTCATTCAGGTCTTGGAAGCACTGCACCAACCCACCCACCCCTGTGTTACCGTCATAGGGAATCACTGGCTGCAGCACGTGGCCGGGGGCACACAATCAGTGCTGTTTGCTTTAATAATTGTTAAGCCATATCATCCAAGGTTTCTGGCTTGTTTTGAGATGTGAATTTGTTTTATAGATTATAAATATACAGTGTATGTATAAAGCAGAATGCCTGTCTTTCCTGGTTATTTTTTGTACTATATTGTAAATTATATTATTTATTCTTTACCAATTTTGGGAATAAAAGGTGTTTTGGTTATTTAATATAATAAAAATTGTTAAACTCCTGTTTAAATTTCCGGTTCAACTTGTAAATGTTTTTATTGTGCATAAATACATACTAATACTTGATCTAACCATTGTCTTCTGCGCCTGTTTTTAATGAGTGCTCTAGGATGGGGCGGGGCACAGCACCTGGGGAAGTGGGCGGACAGGTGCGGCCCGGGCAGAGCCACGGCTTCCTCACGAGGGCGCTACCGCGCGCCCAAGCGCTTCCAGTTGCTACTGAGCAGAAACCACCTCGCCCCGCCCTAACCCGCCAGGGCGGAGAGGAGGGGCTCGGGGCGGTCGCCCAGCGGACCCTGCCCGCGTGATGGAGGGCGGGCCAGACCGCGGACCAATGCGCGCGAGCGGTGCCTGCAGCGGCCAATCGTCTATGGGCGCGACGCCGGCGTGGGGGTAAGGGGTGGGGCTCGGGCCTCGATAGGCTGCGAGGCTATGATTGGCGTGGTCGGCAGCCAACGGGCGCTGGCGGGCCTGGGTACCTGTGCTGGACAGGCGGGAACCGCGACGCGGAGCTGAGAGGCGCGGGGCGGCGGCCGACATGTTCCAGGGCGCGGACGCCGAGGCCGGCCGGCTTGGGTCCAGGTGCGCGGGTGCGGCCGGGTGGGCGCGGAGCCGCGGCCACGTGGCGGGCAACCTTACAGATAACGCGCTGCGGCCGGGCAGAGGTTGGGCAGCGAGCCCCTGGGCCCCGCGGGCTGTGTCTGGCCTTCCCGCGCCGGAGCCTCCTGTGCCGGGAGGCGGGCGCGGTTCTCGGGCCGGAGCCTCACCTACGGGTTTGGCGAACGGAGCCGTGGTTCTGGTGTCTGGTAATGCGACCCTGCCGAGCAAGGGGCACCCAGCAGCGGAACCACCGCCCCGCCCCCGTCTGGGGGCACCCAGCAGGGGTCTCCCACCCCACCTCCGGGTGAAGATTCCCCCGTATCCTACCCCCGTCAGGGCTACTACGGAAAAAAAGGATAAGAGGGCACACGCCGTCGCATCCCTCCAGGAAGTGCCCTGTCCGAGCTGCCTGGCAGTTTCGCCCAGAAAGCGGTGGCCGAGGGGTGAGGCTGTCCGGGCCAGGCTGCCGGTGGGAGCCGGAGCTAGGAGGTCGGGCGCGGTGGCCTGGAGCGCGGGCGGAGAAGAGCAGCCAAGTGGAGTGGCCGAGCCCCGGGGGTACCCCGTGGTGTGACAACCCGGCCTGAAGGGAGTCAGCTTCCCTCGCAGCACCGCGCAGGCTGCGTTTTCTCGGCTAGGGCTTCTCGTGCGGAAGGGGTTTGGACTGGGAAAGCATCTGCTTTATCCACCATTTACCCCAAGTCTTAACGGTCGAGTTGACGTTGCTGAAGGATTTCGTCCAAGTCTGCTTCTCACGCCTTCTACCGAGCCCCACCAGTTCCCAGAAGTTCTTCTAACACTGGGTACTCTTAGGGAAGGTCAGGGGCATAGAGACCCTCCAGATGAGAGTGGCTTTTGTCTTTCCCTCTCCAGCGCCACAGTCCACCTGAGAAAAGAAAAGTCTGTGGGCTTTTCTTGCCATGTGCCCCTTTGTCTTCTGTGTATTGAATGTTTTTGTCAAAATATAGGGGTGGGCTACTCCAGAAGGAAAGGATAAGAGGGCACACGCCTCTGCATTGTGACTTTTTTCCTAAGCCCTTCTTAGTACTCCCCTCCCCCCTTCATGTCACAGTGATAACTGCTGCTTGTCCCTTCCAGAGGACCACACTGGGCCATTGTTGTGCCCCACCCAACCCCCCCTCCTGTTTTAAAAGCCTATCTTTGAACTCTGGTATAGTTTGGTGAGATGTCCTGGGGCACCTTTGCTGCTTGTTTGGCTGTTGTAGGCTGCTAAACCTGGGTGCTGCCCCTTGCCTTAGTGATGGAGGTGGCCCCTGCCCTTCCCAAGATCCTCTGCATCCTAATCACTGCCAAGATAACCTATGATGCTGGAACCACTTAATTCTCTAGGCTAGTTTTCAAATAAAATTTCAGGAAAAGTACACAAAACAAGATTAAGTCCTAAAAAAAAAAAAAGATTAAGTCCTGTAATTCCACCACCTCCACATTAACATTTCTTTTAACTTCCACATACTCCTGTGCCCCTACCATACACTCTGAGCCCCACCTGTTCCAGAGACAGCTTTGGAGTTCCAAGAGCACCTGATAAACTCTGTCATGTCACTCACAGGAAACACTGAAACCACCCATATGTGGATCTGCATTTTCCCTTAAACCTGAAGCTCCAGGCAGAGTGCTTTTCTTTATTCATCTTTTTGTCTGCAGGGTTGCCAGTGGTAGGAACTCGGGAGATGTGCGAGAGACTGAGATTCGAGAGACATCTCCGTCTTGACTGTTGAGTGTGAGAGTCCACAGGAGTCCTGATCACATGTGTCAGCTTGTGGTGCAGGACTTCGAGGGTTTGGAAGACCACTGTCTGTGAAATAAGCCAGTAAATTAGGATTTGTAACTCATGCTGGCATGAACCTTGATGCTGAATTCAGTTCAGTTCAGGATCACAGTATCTTGTTTCATCAGAGATGACTGGAGACCATGTTAGGCCTGCTTCAACTAGCAAAGAAAAATATGGAGAATGACCAGGCTATGTGATTTAAAAATGGAAGTCAGATGCCTCACCTTGTCCACCAACAACCTGCTTTACCTAAGATTTCGTTAAACTATAACTTAAGCCTGGTTATTGGTTAGTTTGAAAAATTATTTTTCACTCGAAACTGACTTTTTTCCCCCTTCATTGGATCCTTCAGGAAGTGCTAACTACTGAACAGATAGGATTGGCACATCTACAATGCAGAGAGAGAGCACTGTTCAGAGGCCTGCCAGTGTGCCAGGGGTCTCAGTTCAGGCTGTGGCTCTCTGTAGGGCACACTTTCTGCTCTCCTATCTCACAGCAGCAACACTGTTCATATAAGATCATAGTGGTGACTGGTTCCCTTTCCACCTCTTTTTGGAGGAAACACATTTAAAATGCTGTTTTTGTTAAACCTTGAGTGTTTAGTGTTTGCATAGCTTTGCAGTGAGGCCTAACCTCAGCCTTAGCTATTAATTGGTGCTTGATCCTCTAAATCCAAGTATTTCAAAATGTCCTGGGTCAAACTGTACCATTGCTTAAGACCTGGTGAAAGGGAATGGATCACTCAACTGGTTTAAAACTTAACAAGGCCCGTCCCCTGAAATGTGAAAAGACACATATGAACTCAGTGTTTCTCTGTGCTGCTCTTTTAGACCTGCTCTTGGGTGTCAGCACAGAGCTTTATGGTAATTTGTTAGCTCTGCCATTGATTTAATAAAAGGTGACTCAAAGCTAGGCACAGCTAGGCACAGTAGCTCACACCTGTAATCCCCTGGTTTTTTTTTTTTTTTTTGAAACTGAAGCTAGGAGCTTTCCTGGATTCAATCCTGAGTACCATCTCCCCAAACATTTTTATTATTATTATTATTTAATACTTTTTGTAAAAAAAATTCTTTTTACCACATTAGAGATTGGACCCAGGGGCACTCTCCCACCGAGCTACATTCTCAGCTGTATTTTTTCTTTATTTTGAGACAGGTCTCACCTTGAACTTGCAATCCTCCTGCTTCTGCATCCTGAGTTAGTGGGATTATAGGGTTGTGCCCTTGTACCCCACTTAATAGGTTTTAATCAACCTAATATATGCAAAATATTCTTTTCACAGTGTGATAGCATAAAAGATATTGTTAAAGAGATGTTTTGTTCTCTTCTTCATCCTATCTTTGACTCTGCTGGGTAGCTTACCTTTAGAGAGTCTCAGTCCTCAGTCCCTTGTGGCCAGGGCTTCCTGCTAGTGCACACAAGGTCCTGCCTTGGGGGTCAGGCTTGATCTATGGGTAAATGTTGAGTGTCCCACCAGTCTTCTAGAGACCTTTAATCTTTTTCCTTTGCTTCCTTTCTTTTTTTTTTTTTTTTTTGCAGTACTAGGAATAGAACCCTGGGTCTTGTACATGGTAGGCAAGCAATGTACCACTAGGCTACATCCCCAACCATTTTTACTTTTTCTTTAGATGCCAGATCTTGCCAACTCCCTAGTCTTGTTTATGCCTGTTCAGTTCGCAGGCTGGCCTTGAACTTTCAGTTCTCCTGCCTTAGCCTCTTAAGTAGCTGGGATTATAATCATGGGTCACTGCACCCAGCAGAAAAGCTTTTAAAGAACTTGAAGGGCCTTAGAAGAAGTTTGCCATGTGGCAAACATTTTGTACTGTTTGTACAACATTTAAGTAATTGTGTGGGGCTGAAAATCCCGGGCCTCTCGGCCACAGGCTGCCTCCAGTGCGACAGGATGTAGCTGGGGGACCTCGGCCCCCAGCAGAGTCTGCCCACCCGGCCTGTTTGCCATCACAGGGAGATCTCTGCCCCCTGGGGCTGAGAGACCCCAGCCTTTTCCCAAGCTGAAGCTGCAGGGTACTGAGGTACCAGCCAGATGTCTTCCCACAAAGGATCTGTGGTGGCACAGGGCAACGGGGCTCCTGCCAGTAACAGGGAAACTGACTCAGTAACAGGGAAACTGTGGAACTGGCTGAACTGGGACCCCTGCTAGAAGAGAAGGGCAAGCGGGTAATTGCCAACCCAAACAAGGCTGAAGAAGAACAAACATGCCCAGTGCCCCAGGAAGAAGAGGAGGAAGTACGGATACTGACACTTCCCCTGCAGGCCCACCATGCCATGGAGAAGATGGAGGAGTTCGTATATAAGGTCTGGGAGGGGTGTTGGAGGGTCATCCCATATGATGTACTTCCTGACTGGCTGAAGGACAATGACTATCTGCTACATAGCCACAGACCACCCATGCCCTCCTTCAAGAGCATCTTCCGCATCCACACTGAAACTGGCAACATCTGGACCCATCTGCTTGGTTTCGTACTATTTCTCTTTTTGGGAATCTTGACCATGCTTAGACCAAATATGTACTTCATGGCCCCTCTTCAGGAGAAAGTGGTTTTTGGCATGTTCTTTTTGGGTGCAGTGCTCTGCCTCAGCTTCTCCTGGCTCTTCCACACCGTCTATTGTCATTCAGAGAAAGTTTCCCGGACTTTTTCCAAACTGGACTATTCAGGGATTGCTCTACTGATTATGGGGAGCTTTGTCCCCTGGCTCTATTACTCCTTCTACTGCTCCCCACAGCCTCGGCTCATCTACCTCTCCATCGTCTGTGTCCTGGGCATCTCTGCCATCATTGTGGCACAGTGGGACCGGTTTGCCACTCCTAAACACCGGCAAACAAGAGCGGTTCCAGTCCCATCAGATTTTCCACGTCCTGGTGGTGGCTGCAGCCTTTGTCCACTTCTATGGGGTCTCCAACCTTCAGGAATTCCGTTATGGCCTGGAAGGTGGCTGTACTGATGACTCCCTTCTCTGAGCCTTCCCACCTTGAGGTGGAGGAGGAACTTCCCAAGTGCTTTTAAAAATAACTTATTTGCTGAAGTGAGAAGAAGAGTCTGAGTTGTCTGTTTCTAGAAGAAACCTCTTAGTGAATTCAATACCAGTTAAGCTTCAGCTCACTTTCACAGCCACTGGGCAATAAACTTTCCATTCCCTTTCCCCTAGCTGGGGAGAGTGGGGATGGTCAACATAGTCATCCCCTTCCTCGGCAGTCACCCTCCTCGGCAAGACAAGTACCATTTCCTCACAGAGACAGTACTTTGAAGCTCATTTTGAGATCTTACTCCCTCCTTCAACCATTTTGGGAAAAAATTATGGACTGGAACTCTTCAGGAATTGTTTTCTTTTTTCCTGAAAGAAAATGTCCCTCTCTTACTCCCTGTCCTTACTTTGTAACCTGGCTTATAACAGGCCATCCATTTTTGTAGCACACTTTTCAAAAACAATTATAACCTGGTCCCATCTTTCTAGGGCCTAGATCTGCTTGCATAGCAGGAAGAATAAGACACCAACTTTTACATAGCCCGGCTAATCATGGAAGTGTGTCCAGGCTTCAAATAACTTGAGTTTTAATTTTTTTTTTCTTGGCAGAGTAATGTAAAATTAAACTGGGGAAAGATATTTAATATTTAATACTAAGCTTTAAAAAGAAACCTGCTATCATTGCTATGTATCTTGATGCAAAGATTATGATGATAATAAAGTACAGCAAAAAAAAATAATAATAATAATTGTGTGGCCACCACAGACATTGAGGCATGCTTCTGCCCTGTCTAGTTGTGCCCTAGCCCTGCCTGTGACAAGTATACTTGGCAGCCCACAGTCGAATATTCAAGGTTGCTTTCTGCTTGCAGGGCCATGAAGCCTCCAGGAGGAGAATCCAGCAATCTTTTTGGAAGTCCGGAAGAAGCTGTTCCTTCAAGCAGGCCTAATAGGATGGCGTCAAATATTTTTGGACCAACAGAAGAACCTCAGAATGTACCCAAAAGGACAAACCCCCCAGGTGTGGGCCTTTGTAAATCCCAGATGGGTTGGCCTCTACCTAGTCTCTCTTCTGTTCTTTTAAAAATGTTGTTGTTCTTTATATTGATCCTTTCAGATATTTTCTGGTATAGGTTATCCCTTGTCTTTAGAGGTGGTGTGAAAGCACTGAGGGTACAAAGGTAAGCGGTGGGCCTCTGGTTTCTAGACCCCATTGAGATCCTGAGATTGCATGCTAATGATTATGTATTCAGATATAGTTCTTAGGGAGGGAGAGTATTAATCTGACTTCATTCAGTAGATTGAAACTCTGGACAGGGAGAGTTGGTCTAGCATGCACTGAGACAGTTCTTCAGAATTTAACACACTGGCTAGTGGCTTCAGAAGGAAAAAATATTTGAACAGGTTTCCCCGTCCTGTTGAGTAACCACACAGTGACAGTTACCTAATAGTTTTCCCATGTCTGTATCTGTGAGGGGACAGCAAGGTTTGTTCCATCTTTCAGAGACTTTAGAGGCCATCCCTGGGGGTATGTGTTAGAGTCAGCTCTAACTGCTCCCTACCTTGTGCCAGTTCTGGATATAAATAAATCTTGACCAAATGTAGATGCAGCAGATTTAAAAACTAGTTTTTTTGTTCATTTGGTTGTTGGGGATGGGTGCTGATGTTGCTTCTAAATGTAGCTGTAGCCAGTGGTTCTTAATAACTGACTAATATTCTCTTGCATCCAGTTCTGAATTTTGGGCCAGGAGTGGTCAGCCCTACATACCTTTGTGCTGGTGATAGCAGAATGGTACTTGTGTGCAAAACAGAAACAAATCCCAACCAGGAGTGGTGGCATACACCTGTAATCTCAGCTGCTCAGGAGGCTGAGGCAGGCAGATCAAAAGTTCAAGGCCAATCTCTGTAATTTAGCAAGGCCCTAAGTAACTTATACCCTGTCTCAAAGTTTAAAAAAAAAAAAAACAATGCAAAAAGGGCCAGGGTCGTGGTTCAGTGGTTAAGCACCCCTGGGTTTAATTCCTAGTATTAAAAAAAAGAAAAAGCACCAAATGTGTGTCTGGAGTTGTCTCTAGACTTGTCCTTGCAACACATCAGGTTCTCTGAAAGGTGTGCCTGCTGTGACTCTTTGCACATCCTATAGGACCTCGTGTCCCCAGGTGCTCTTGTGTCCTTGGGGAGCCTAAGCCCCTTGGCTAGGAGTAGCCGTTTACCTCTGGTATAGTGACAGCCGTTTTGGCTGCCTTTACCAGGTTTTTGCATCCTTCCAAGTACTCTTTGGAAAGAGAGCGTGAATCCTGTGAGGCAGAACCAGTAGTTGTGTCCACCTCAGAGGCCAAGTTCCTGCCCTCATTGCTGTGCTCAGCCACCCAGACTCAGTGCTATAGCACTCCAGTTAGAAGGCCTGACTTGGGAGAGTGTTCAGAGGCACTTGCTCCACCCATGTTGGCAGCTTACCTCCGACAGCTGAGGAAGGCTTGCAGGAGATGACCTTCAGTGTCCCATTTCACCCTCACTGTAGTCTCCCTGTTCAGGCCTCCTGAGCATTCCTGTTTGCCCATATGGCAAGTGCATACCTATTTCTGCCAAGGCAGTGTTTTTTGGGTTGGTTTGTTTCTTTGTTTGGACAGCAGAAACGAACCCAGAGGCACTCAACCACTGAGCCACATTCCCAGTCCTTTTCATTTTTTAGCAGGGTCAGGGTCTCATTAAGTTGCTGAGGCTGGATTTGAACTCAGATCCTCCTGCCTCAGCCCCAGTTGCTGGGATTGAATTTATTTTTTTAGTTTTTTAAGACAGGAGATTGAAACTGGTGCTTAACCATTAAACTACAGCCCTTTGTGCCCCCCCACCTCCCTTTTTTTTTTTTTTTTTTTTTTTTGAGACAGGGTCTTGCTAAATTGTTAAGGCTGGTCTTGAACTTGTGGTCCTCTTATCTCAGTTTCTCAAGTCATTGAGATGACTGGTGTGTGCCAACTGTTTACTAGTTTTGAGTGAACTCAGGCATCTTTTCTTTAAGTCTGAATTCATCTTTTAAGGAAAAGGTTGAATAATAGCTATATGGCATAATTACTTTAAAGTTCAGAAACAACTTTTGTTCAGGATTATGCATGTATGTTGTGAAAATATGTAAGTAAAATAACAAGCCTGGTTTCCAGAAAATTCAGGGAGTGGGATAATCTTGGATGAGCGGGAAAGGGCACAGAGGGAGTTCATGAACAGTGTCTTTGACCAAAAATTTTTAGTTTACAAAAAGAAACCTGAATATATGTTTTAAAAAATTAGGTAAGCCTTTGTGGACAACCAGAATATGACACAATAAGGATGGTCCCTCCCTATCGCAGGCCAGCCACGTTTGCTAGAATGGCCAATGGCATCACTAAAGGTTTCCCCAGCAGGCTGTGCTGCACCGTCATTTTACCTTAGCAGCTGGTGAGTCTCACCACCAACCCTAGGGATGCTGTAAGTTGAGAAGGTGAAGTTGTTTATATGAGGTCTTACAGGTAGTGAGTGAGTGAGCAGGGACTAGGATCCAAGCAGCCTGGCTAGGGTGCCAGTCCCTCATGCCATGCAGTGCTGGTTTCCTCTTTCAAAGGTGTTCAGTGTGGGGCTGGATCCCTGGGAGGTTCATGATTGAGTTTGGAAGGTTTATAATCCCCTAAAGTTAAAAGTTAGGGCATGGTGCATGTTTTTCTGCAGAAAGTTTCACATGTTCCAAAGTCTTTTGTCCCTGCCAGAAGACAGCATCCCTGGCCTGTGCCCAACCTGCTCAGTGCTATCTATAGGCCATGGCCTATAGACTGATACCTCCCAGAGGCTGCTCTGTTAGTGTGATAGCTAACAAGAGCAGACCCCAGTTGAGTCCCTTCCCCAAGACCATGGCTCCTTGTGTAGTTGGGTCATGAGGTGCTCATCCTGTAGCAACATGGTTATCACAGCTAAAAAATAACCTTAAAATGTAATTTTTTGAAGCCTGAAAACAGAAAAGGTGAGACCCTGTCTCAAAAACTTAAAAGGGCTGGGATGTAGTTCAGTGGTAGAGCACCCCTGGGTTCAGTTCCTAGTACCTTAAAAATAAATAGTTACTTTTCTTATGCCACTGCACCCTCTCTGTCCCATTTCTTGTCTGGCCCTTGTAGGTAAGCAAGTGGTGAGAGGCAGGGGTGAAGTAGTCATTTTTCTTATTCAATTGTAAGTGAATAAGACTACCCCTCTTCCATTAAGATGTTGGCACTGCATGGATTGTTTTGTACCTTTACTCACAGAACAGTATGTCCAGGAGGTGTTTCTTTACTGTTAGGCAGAAAACACAGCTTTTATTTATTTTATTATTTATTAGGTGTTTTTATCCTAGGCATGGTTCCTAGCCTTTGACCTAGGAGCTACAGCCACTCACTGAGTGCTCATACACCTCTGAGAGAATGGTCCTTTTATTGTCCTCATTCTGAAGATGAGGGTTTAGGGTCATAGAAAAACCAAGTAACTTTCACACATCAACACAGCTATTGATGGTGTGCATCTTTGTGTATACCATAACTTGGTGCACCAGGGCAGTGACTTTGATGATAGCTGGTCCATTCAGCACAGTGCTTTGGGGAAGGGGTCTGCTGGTATCATACAGCATCCATGTTCCTCCCTGATATGGGCATTGAGGCCTTCTTGGGGCATATCCAGGCCACAGCCATCAGCTCCTAAGAAGTTCCATCTGCCTATATTTTGTTAGAGCTTATCAGCTCACTCACAGTTGGCAGCAAGGGCACTACAAATCCCTTAATTTGCTGACATGTGTAGTCATTGCTTGACATTCCAGCCAGAATGAGGTCAGAATGACTAATAAAAGTTATTTTCTAGATAACAGGTTTGCCTTGAGTAGGGCATGTTACTAACTTCAGATCTCTCTGCAAGCAAAACAATTAGCTGTTTCATTCTTTTTTTTTTCTTTTTTAGTTTTCAATGGACCTTTATTTTATTTACTGACACGTGGTGGTGAGAATCAAACCCAGTGCCTCACACATGCTCAGTGCTCTGCCATTGAGCCACAGCTCCAGCCTTAGCTGTTTGCTTTTTAATTCACTGGAGAACTTTTCCTGAGTTTAATGAGGGACAGTTAAGTAGGAAAGCATTAACTACTGAGGGTTAGGGAACTCTGCAGGAAAATGTATGGTTTATTCCTTTTCCCTTCCAGAGGCTGGGTTGGGTCTAGACATGAAGGCCAAGTAGGCCTCTGGTAAAAGTTGGCTGGATGTCCCACCCCATTTCCTGGTACCCAGGACTGCCACAAGGCTGTTTGTGAGAAAGTCTCTGAAATGATGACCCTGGGCATGTGTGGTGTTCACTGTCCTGTGATTGTTTCTGCAGGAGGGAAAGGAAGTGGTATCTTTGATGAATCGACTCCTGTGCAGACCCGACAACGTCTGAACCCACCAGGTGGGAAGACCAGTGACATTTTTGGGTCCCCAGTCACTGCCACTTCACCCCTGGCACACCCAAACAAACCCAAGGTATGGACTACATTCAGACAGCAGACATGAGCAAAAAACAAAAGTTGAGCCAAGGACTCTTAAAAAGCTGCAGATGTGCCATGTTATTAGGGAGACAAGGTAACATCATTGATTTTGCTGTGGTCATTTGTTATTGGGTTGGGGAGCTCCCTAGTTACCCAGGATGATGACTGACCCCTGGGGAAAGTGGTTTCTTGGTGTGTCAACAGTACAGATACTGCTAGAGGCAGCCACACTGGCCTTTACCACATACCTGAGGGATAACAGCTGAGCACCTGGTGCAAAAACTCGCCCCTCAAGGGTCTTTCATGATTCTTCATTCTGTAGAGGAAAGGTGGTGGCTCTTGATGGTATTTCTTTCCCCACACAAGGTCCAAGGCCTTATGCTTGTTATCTTAGTGGATTTGTGGTGCTTGGCACCTCTGATCCTGCAATGGCACCGAATCAGGTAACTACCTGTAATCCAGCAAAGGGTCAAGTAACCAGGGTCTCCTTACCTGCAGTGCCATCTCAGAGGCTTGCTGAGATATGTGACCCTGGATGTGAACTTCCTGGGCTGAGGCTGAGGTAGAGGCTTGACCTGAAGAGCCGGCACAGCCCTCATCTGAATGTTTGTTCAAGGCATGACAGGACATTTTGGGAGTTTACTTTGGCCAGAACTCACTAACAATAAAACCTATAATTTTATTGTAACTTAATTATTAGCATTATATTTAAAATTTTTCATCGTTTTTTTTTTTTTTTTTTTTTTTTTTTTGTGGCCAAAAGATAGGGTCCAGTTCTCTAAAATAAAAGGCATACACATTTCTGGAGCTACTTGTGCATGGACCATCACTGCATTTTTGTCAGTTCACATCTCAGATGATGGCCCACCGCCATTGAATGGAAATGGAAATGTGAAAAAAGACCCAAGGCAAGGAGAAAATGAGAGTAGATGAGAGGGCTTCACGGAGACAAGCCTGGTTGGATCACCCCATGTCTCCTATGATGGCCTGTCTGAAGCAACAGTCTCTTTCAGGTTGGAGTCTCAGGAGCCAGGCATGCACCCCACTGAGTATGAGATTGTGAGGCTCATGTCAAAGACAGCATCTCTTTAGGATGTACCCGTGGAACTGCTGCACCTTGGCTAATCCAGAAATGCCCTAAAGGTCAGCAGTTCTCCACCAAGGAGAATTTTAATTAGTTGAACATAAGAGGAGGAAGCTTGGATTCACAGGTTCCCAGGAAAGAATAATATGAGCTTGTACACCTGAGCATAAATAAAGAGAGTCAGAAAACAACTTACCTGGGTTTATTAAACCTAAAGGTTTTTTGACCCAGGAGCATCAGACATCCCTAGCCTCACTGGAAAAATGGCCAGTTCCAGGCTCAGGACAGAGAGCGTAGGAGATGCTCCTGGAACATTGTGCAGTGCCATAAAACTATCACAGTGTTAAACTGGCATCAAAAGGATCAGAAACCATTGTGAAGAGTAGTCTTGGGCCACAGAGGCTTGGGCCTCATTTGGTCCTCAATAATCACAATGGATTAAAATTCACCAACTATTTGGAATTCAGAGGTTTAAAAAAAAAAATCTTTAGAGACCTTTGGAGAATGCCAGAAAACCAACTCATGAAATCTGGTGAAGAACAAAGATGGTGTGAATAACCAGCTTTTCCTGCATGAAAGATGACAGCTGTTGAAGGAACGTTCCATTTTATAGAAGTACTAAAGGAGCCAAGCATAGTGACCTTATCTGTAATCCCATCTTCTTAAGGCTGAGGCCAGCCTGGGCAACTGAGTGGGGTTTGTGTCAACATTTAGAAAGGACTCCCAAGTTATAAATGAGAAGGGGTAATAATACTGCCATATTGCCAGTGTGGAATGAACTCAACACACCCACACAGTGGTCATCAGTGGCTGTGACAGTCACGCACAGAAAGAGAAACAGCCAAGAGTTATGACCTCAAATGTGGAAGTCCAACGTGGTCCACCTCAAGGTCAGTTTGTCAATATAAAACCCAAAGTGAAACAAAACCACATTTTTAAATAATGATGTCACATATATGCACTCAGAACAGTATAACGTGTAGGAAAATACATGACAAATGATGGAGATTCTCAAGATGAAAAAGAGAAAGGGCCAGGCACAGTGGCTCACGCATGTAATCCCAGCTACACAGAAGGTTGTGGCAGGAGAGTCACAAGATTGAGGCCAGTCCAGGCAACTTAGTAAAGAAAGGGCTGAGGCTGAAGCTCAGTAGTAGGAGTGCTTGTGCTTGTGGGTTCCATCCTTGGTACAGCAAAAAACAATAAAGCTTAAGAAGGGCTAGGTGCAGCCCAGTGGCAGAGCACTTGCCTAGCATATGCAAGGCCTGGGTTTGACCCCCCAGCACCACCCAAATGAGAAAGAGACTTAGAAAAGCAGTCCCTTTCAAAGTCCAAATAGATTTTGTAGAAATGAAAAAAAAATATTCAAACATTCACTTGGAAGATAAAACATGGAAGCCCGCATCCCAGTTTCAAGTCTCACGGCAACAGTAACTAAAACAGCACAATGGCAATTTTGTGGGTTTTTTTTTTGTTTTTTTCTACAAGAGTACCAAGATCATTCAATAGGAAAGTAACAAAGTCTCTCAACAAATATATTAGGAATTTGGGTATGCACACACAAAAAGATAAAATTAGACTTACCTTAACACCATGGGGGAAAAAAAACTCAAATTGGTTCAAAGACCTAAAATAGAGAGCAAAATCATAAAATTCATAAAAATCAGAAAATAAAGTGACTAATCTTTATGGTCCTGCACTTGACAGTGCTTCTTAAATATGACACAAACAATAGTCAATAAAATAAATTGGACTTCATTAAAATTAAAAACTTGGTGTGCATCCCAAGGACCCTACCCAAAAACTGGAAAGACAACCCACAGGATGGAAAAAAACCTTGCAAATCGCATACCTAATAAGGATTTACTGTACGGAATATGTAATGAGGTCTTAGGATTTAATGACAAAAAGACAAAGTAATTCAAAATGAGCAATGGATTTGAATAGGCATTTCTACAGAGAAGATATATAAATGATAATCACATAAATGGGTACACAACTTCAGTGGTCATTAGGGAAATTCAAATAAGAAACTACCACCTCAGTCCTTGTGGGACACCTAGAAAACATTGAGTTAGAACCTCGAATGTTGCTAGCGAGGATGTGAAGTCATTCGGCAGTCGTGAAAGTTGGTTTGGCATTTCCTCAGGAAGTTAAGCTTGAACCATGAACCACTGTATGAATCAGCAATTCCATGAAGATTTGGAAAACAGGAGCTGGTTGTGGTGGTACCACCTTGGATCCCAGCTACTCAGGTGGAGGAGGCAGGGCTCTAAGTTCTCAACCAGCTTCAGCTACTTAGGGAGACCCTGTCTCAAAAATAAAAAGGGCTCTGGTGTGGCTCTGTGGCAGAGCACCCGTTCCATCTCTAGTATCAAAAAGAAAACATTTTTTCTTGGAAAACTGGGAATGGAACCACCATTTGACCCAGCTATTCCTCTTCTCGGACTATACTCAAAAGACCTAAAAACTGCATACTACAGGGACATAGCCACATCAATGTGTACAGCAGCACAATTCACAATAGGTAGACTGTGGAGCCAACCTAGATGCCCTTCGATGGATGAATGTATAAAAAAAAAATGTGGCATTTATAAACAATGGAATATTACTCAGCACTAAAAAATAACAAGATCATGGCATTTGCAGGGAAATGGATGGCATTAGAGCAGATTATGCTAAGTGAAGTTAGCCAATGCCAATCCCCCCCAAAAAATGCCGAATGCCTTCTCTGATATAAGGGAGGTGACTCAAAATGGGAGGAAGAGCATGAGAAGAAAATTACCTGTAGATAGGGAAGAGAGGTGGGGGGGAGAATGGGAATTGCATGGAAGAGGGAAGGAGACCCCCTTCGTTATACAGAATACAGGTATGACAATGAGAGGGGGGGGGAAGTGGGTCACATTAGATTGGGTAGAGAGAAGGGCGGGGAAGGGGGGAATAGAAGGACAGCAGAAAAAAAACGACATTATTATTGCTGTGGGTATATACGTGACTGCATGACTAATATAATTCTGCAACCTGTACACTCAGAAAAATGAAAAATTATATCCCATCTGATTCAAATGTATGATATGTCAAGATCATTGTTCTATCATGTGTAACTAATTAAAACAAATTTTTAAAAAATATGAAACTTTAAAAAAAATTGAAAACAGGGATTCAGGACTGGGATTGTACCTCAGAGGGAGAGCACTCACCTAGCATGCATGAGGCACTGGGTTCAATCCTCGGCACCACATAAAAATAAAAATATGCGTCCACCTATAACTAAAAAATAAATATTTAAAAAAGAAAACAGATTCAGGCTGATACTAGGGCACTTTTTCGTAGCATAATAGCTGCAGGTGGAAAGGCCCACATGTCTATCAGCAGAGCAGTGGGTTCAAAGTGTAGTCCAGCTACACAGTCGCTTACTGCTGTTGTCAGACTACAGTTCTGACATATTGTAATGTGGACAAGCCTTGAAAGCACTGGTGTTTTAAAATTTGATATTGAAGAAATAGTTTTTTGCAGTTTTGAGCCCATTATGATTATTTTTTTAGGGCTACATCTTGAAAATTTTACAGACAAATGAAATATCTGGGGCTTGCTCCAGAGTAGTCCTGAGGAGAGACAGGCAGGGATGGAAGCTGGGGTGTGGTGTGCTTATTCTCGAATGGCTGCAAGTCTGCATTGCAGTAGTACAGCAGTCCTGCAGGCTCATTCTGTCCTCTACTTTTTTGGTAGTATTAGGGATTGAACCTAGGGGTTCCTCCGTGCTAGGCAAGTGCTTGACCCTTGAGCTGCATCCCCAGCAGCTTTATGGTAAAGCAGTCCAGACATGATAAAAACATGTCTTAGAAGTTAAACTGTAGTCGTCCATGCCTATGTTTCAATGTCTGCCTGAGTGAGGGGAGAAAGGTTCTGGGTCCTGCACTGACCGACTGTTGTCTTGCTGCAGGATCATGTGTTCTTGTGCGAAGGAGAGGACCCAAAGTCAGACCATAAAGGTGAGCTAGTTTCCTCTCTCCATCTCCTGCATGCCTCACAGAACTAGAAGAGTGGGTCCCATGCCCCCAGGCCAGGAGTGTACTATGAGAGGAGTAAGCCTTTGAAGAAGGCAGGGAGACAGGAAGAGTTACCTCTTTGTCACCACTTATCAGCCTGGACCTGTAAGATGTCTTTTTCTAGAATGTCATCAATGTCCTGAAGGACATGGAACTAAAATCCCAAGTGAACTCATGACACAGGCTGGAGCTGTCAGAATTATGAGGCTGGGTATGAGGCCTGTGTGTGCACTGTGGTTTCCAGGTTGATTGGGTATGGATTTCTGCCTTGGGGCTGCTGTTCCCTTCAGCGGATGAACAGGAACCTGGGAGTGTACCCATCCTTCAGAAAATCTAGAGCACTGGTGACCAGAAGCCTCACCTGGGCTTGTCAGACCCCCAGCTAAGCTTGACGCAGGAGAGACTGGAGTGTAACATACAAAATAAAGAAATAATTAACTTTTTTAGGAAGATACCAAGGAGTGTTTATAGTCATCAGCCCCAGTTTTATGGTCACTCTGAGAACTGCATCTCCTTTAGCTGAGCAGTCTTGGTGCAAGAGTCCGTGCCTGGCCTCACCTTCCCCTTCCCCATCCTGTCATGGATTTTTTGTGAGCTGCTCTGTGATGTTGACTGCTCCTCAGGGCAGCTTGCCTGTCAGGCAGTGGCTGCCTCTAACGGCCACTGTGCTGACTCTGTCCCACAGCTGCAGGAAGCACTTCTAGCCGAGAAGAGTCAAGAGAAAAGGGCAGCTCCAGAGGAGCAGACCACGCCAAGGTGCCTGAGCCTACGCCCCCAGCTGACAGCCACGAGCCCAGGCTGGGGCCGAGGCCTCGCTCTCACAACAAGGTCCTGAACCCACCAGGAGGCAAATCCAGCATCTCCTTCTACTAAGAGGCTACTTACTGCTCTGCCTGTAGCCAGACCAGAAATTCAAGATACAGAGTATTAAAAATTTATTGTTTTCTTTAGCCCAAACAAAAGGGGGTGGGAGAGGGTTGCCCTGTGTGTGAAGCTGGCTGCCTAGAGGACTGGGGCCTTTCAGACTGCAAGCTACATGTCTGGGGATGAGGATAGAGGGCTCCCCTGGTGTCTGCTCATTTGTTCTGATGGAGCAGGATTCTGAGGTGGGCAAGGGCAGGGAGCTGGTGCTGAGTGGCTGGTGGGCTCTTCCGTGAGCTGTCTCCTGCTGACTAGGCATCCAGGAACAGCTGAAGAGAGCCCAGTCTGTCTTGCTGTAGGATGGAGAGGAAGCAAAAGCAGAGACATCAGGAAGGCAGTGGGAGTCCACATAAAGCATCCCCTTTGGCCCCAGGACCAGTTACCCATCACAAGGATAGCTTCCACTCCCAAGAGACCACCAAGCCCATCATCTCCTCTTTTTACCCCCAGTGTGTCGTCCTTCTCTCTTGAAGCACCGTGACTGCTTTTCCTCAGCAGCAGTCAACAGAACCAAACAGTTGACCTCAGTCTGTTGCTCTGAAAGTTTTTCTACCCTGGTCCTCTGAATTGCCCAGTTCCTGCATCTCAAACCATGACCACATCTCATATAGGAATCTGCCTTCCTCTCTCAGGGACTGGCCTTGGTCCTTGATGTGCTGGATTTACTTGTAGATTGTTCCTCTGTTTCCTCTCATCAGCCTTAAGTATGGGCCTTGGTTCTTCACTGATAGTGTGAAGCTCACTTTCAAAGCTGCACTCAGGCCCTCTGTAAGTCTTTAAACCTCTTCACATACACCTGAGTACAGGGTTTTTTCAGATCCTTCCTATGTCTTTGTTCCTGTAGTTGGTGGGAATGCATGAGAACCTTGGGTTCTTAGGTTGGTTTCTTCAGTAATATCTAAAAGGCTGTCTTCAAGTACCAGCTTCACATAATTACCTGTGGATTTGGTTTCTGACATCTTCCAGAAAGCAGTCCACTGCTTCAGCCACCTTTTTGAAACTGCAGCACCTCTGGAACCTACTATAAACAATAGGCCAGAGCGTTAAGTAGTTTGTCAGCAGAGTCTCAGCTCTCACGTCAGCAGATGCTTTGCTGGCATGAGTCATGTTGCTTCATTTGTCAGGCAGAGGTCCCTCCCTGTCCACTGCAGCCTCAGTTCCCTGCTTCCTTGTGGTGGGCATATTAACAGGAGAGGGCCTTGGTGGCATGGCTATTGCTTTAAGTGCCTACAGGGCTCGAATCAGGTGCTAGGAACATCCTCGGTGTCCTTTAGCTTTGGACAAATGGCAGGTCTTGTGTGGTCTAACGCTACCTGCAGGAGCTAATGAATCCCCAGGCTCTGGCTCCTGGCACATGGAGGGGTCTGCATATGACTTGTCAGCCAAAGAATCTTAACCCCTTCAGTTGCCCTATATACCATGGAGCCAAAAGCATTCCATGTGAGTCCTGAGAACTTGAACAGGTTTCTGTTCAAAGTCATTTATAACATTGTTTGGAATTCTGGGGCAGGGCAAGTTCCCACTAAAATAATATAAATGTTGCTTAGCTTTTTAAGCCAAAACCCACTAACTTGTTTGACTTACAAGGAACTAGTGTTAATGATAGATATGAACCACTATTTGTAATGATGTTTTCTTAGAGAAAATAAATTGTGAATTCTAAATCAAATTGCCAAGAAAAATATCTGACATTACTGTGCTGGTTCCTGCTGTTGTGCCAATGAGAAGGAAACTCTGTTCTGAGTCCGTGTCCTGGGCAGTGTGCTCACTGCGGGAGCAGAGAAGGCACTTCCCAGGTGAGCCCAGCATTGTGGGTATGGTGTGCACCCACATTAGGAAGATGCTGTCTGTATGTGGACACATCCTGTCCTCAACCTCCAAGCTGCATTAAGAAATTACTAGTCTGTATTTTTATTAAGCCTTAATTTTTTTTAATAACATTTGGTGCCAACATGTTTCTAAAGCTGTATCAAAACAAGAAACTTGTCCTCACATCACAATGCAATTTTGATAGGAACGTTTTGTTATTTTTACAAGGCAAAATTAGGAATAATGGTTGAATTAAACTTCGGAACCACGTAATTAAAGTCTTTGCCTGTTTTTTTTGTGTGTTCTTTCCCATCCATCCATTCTGCAAACAAAATGCCGTAAATTGGCTCCTTTCCCCACAACTCCTTTCTGGTAAAGTTTGTCTCTTCCTGCCATTTAATCTGGAGGATACCCAAATCAATCTTAAAGCTTTGAGCAGGCTATGCACAGTGGCTATTGCCTGTGATGCGAGTGACTTGGGAGGCTGAGACAGGACAATTGTAGGTTCCAAGCCAGCCTCAGCAACTTAGCAAGACCCTGTCTCAAAAAGGGCTAGGGATATGGCTCAGTGGTATAGCACCCCAATGGGATACGCACACACAAAAAGCTTTGAGTGGGGAATTTGCCCTAAGTTAAGCACATTGATTATTTTCTCTTGCTACTAGTTATCCTTAAGGTCTCTAATGTGCCTCTAGCTTGGCTTTGAAATCCCCCATGACTAGCCCTGTAATGAACAGGTGAGATGCTGAGCTGAGTGTCAGATTCAGTGCAGAAGCGCAGATCAAATGTCTTTCTTCTGTTGGGTTAGCTATTTTCTTATGTCCCCAAGCAAACTTAATATCCTCATGTGTGCTATGTGGATTCAGGGAAATGAAACTGCCTGTGATGAGAGCCCCCTCTAGGAGATGCCATGCCATTCTGCCAGCTGGCTCAGGGGTTCAAATGAAAACCATGTCCTCAGAAAGCTAGCATGGTTATCTAGAACACCATCTTCACTTGTTCATCCATGTGATGGGATGTGTAGAGCAAGTTTCAAGAACTGGGTTAGGCACTGACATTAAATTACCTATTAATAGCAGCTGATCAAGCTGGGATTGTGGCTCAGGGGTAGAATGCTCACCTCTCACTTGCAAGGCCCTGGGTTTGATCCTCAGCACCACATAAAAATAGATTTATAAAGGTATTTTATTCAACTACAAAAAAATGATATTTTTTTAAAAATAGCAGCTGCTCAAGCTAAGGGCAGCCACTGAAATCTGAGTCGTTCAAGTCCCCAGAGGCCAGACAGCGACACTGGTAGCTCTACCAGTGTTCAAGTGAAAACCAGAAAAATAAACATCAGAGCTGGTATTTTGAAGTCTTGTTCCTCCCTCAGAAATGTGCCAGTACTGGGACAGTATCACCTGCTGTGTTATCTGGGAGATCCCTCAGGGAGTCAAACCTTGCAAGCAGGTACATTTGAACCTAGGGGCGCATTACCAGTGAGCCACATCCCCAACCCTTATTTTTATTTTAAGATGGTTTTGCCATCCTGCCTCAACCTCCAGAGTTGCCAGGGTTAGGTTAAATCCCCCCACCCCCAGACGGCTCCTGCCTCAGCTTTCAGAGGAGCTGGGATACAGGCATGGGCCACTGAGCCTGGCTGAATTCCTTAATCCTTAGCATTCTTGGGGATTGTTAGTGAAACATTCCTTAGAAATCAGAACTTTTGAAAGGAATGAGCTCACCTTACATTTTATGATCTTTTAATGAGCCAATCCGAAGTTCTAATCAGTTGACTTCAACTTAATATTGTATATTCTGTAAGCGCCGGGAATTACCCAGCATGCCAGCTTGTTAAAATTTCGTGGTTTCAATCAATTTCAGGTAACCAATTTCTGAAGGTGATGTTCATAATAAAAATAATAGTGATGTCCACGCCGGCTGGCCGGGTCATGGCGGCTGCCCTGCTGGGGAGTTCTCGGAATTCTCGAGGTTCGAGCCTCCGGAACACAAGCCTGCTCCGTGACCGGCACCCGCGGGTGGCGCCGCGGAACCCGAACCGCCTGTGCAGGCGGGCCGCCAATTCCTGGTGTCGCGAGGCGCCCAGGCAGACGTCCAGCCCGGGCGAAAGCACGGCCCGCAGCAGCTGGCCCTACCGCGCCGCTGGGACACAGCGTGGGAAGACCCCCGAGCCACAGACGCGGCCTGAAGCGCCGCTTCCCTGACGCCGCGGCGCGGCCCCACCCTGCGGTGGGCGGGACTTCCGGCGGCGAGTGACGGGCGCGGCTGGGGCAGCGGCGGCGGCCTGAGGCGACAGTGACCGATAGGGGCTACGCCGCGGCCCGCGGACCCGGTAGCCAGAGCGCCGCGCTGGCGGCGGCCGCCGCGATGATGGAGATCCAGATGGACGAGGGCGGCGGCGTGGTGGTGTACCAGGACGACTACTGCTCGGGTTCGGTGATGTCGGAGCGCGTGTCGGGCCTGGCGGGCTCCATCTACCGCGAGTTCGAGCGCCTCATCCACTGCTACGACGAGGAGGTGGTCAAGGAGCTCATGCCGCTGGTGGTGAACGTGCTGGAGAATCTGGACTCGGTGCTGAGCGAGAACCAGGAGCACGAGGTGGAGCTGGAGCTGCTGCGCGAGGACAACGAGCAGCTGCTCACGCAGTACGAGCGCGAGAAGGCGCTGCGCAAGCAGGCGGAGGAGGTGCGTGGGCGCGGGCGGCCGGCGGCCGAGCCCGCGGCTGGCCGCGGCTGGCTTTGAGCAGGGCTCTGGGCCGCACGTTCCTAGATTGGGATGCTCGGGCCTCACCACTACGGCTTCAGACTCCCCAACAGGGGATTCAGGAGCCCCTAGGATCTGAGAGCTCAAAGTGACCCGGGCCGCTTTACTAGGGAGGGAACTGGCCCTGAGAAGTGGAGGGGCCCGACCAAGGTCACACACTCCAGAAACACCGGGCCAGGATGCGGGGTGGACCCAGACGCACGGCCTGCTCTCTTCTGGGTCACTCCTCCCCACATACCCAGCGGTGAAGCTGTGGCTGCCTCCCCCTGTGCTGGGCACCGCCCTCCACTGCTCTGACCACTCAGGGCCTTTTGATGCCTGACGGAGGTTTGGTTGGCTTTCTTTTTTATTCCCAGCCTGTGTAGTCAAAATAGTGATGAGGAGGAAGTAAAAGAAGAAAACCAAGCTGGACAACCTTAAGGCCGAGTTGTAGCTGTGTACCTAAAAATGTACACTACCTGGCTTAGGTACCCTGCTTTGTGCACTGCCTAGGCAACCTCCAGGGAGGTGCCTCTTCCTTCCCACTTACACTCAGGCTGGACCATTGCTTTTAAGTATTGTGCCTGCACCTTGCAGAGAGATTGCTGTAATGCCCTTACCCTATTGCTCCAGCTATTTAGACAGGCTGCACAGAGAGCTGTGAGCTGAGCAGTAAGCAAATACCCTGGGCTGGACTGGCCAGGTGGAGGTGGCAGTCAGATGCTAATATTATGCCCTTAGGAAGAGTCAGGTACTGTTACAATTGAAGAAAAGGGTTCAACCCTGTAAACTTGGTGTTCTGGCTCCTTTATGAAATCAAGCAGACATTCACTTTCAGTCTTGTGGAAAAGACCACTGCTCTTTGCCGGCTTATTTTTCTAGTCAGGGACTCCTGATCATGGATGTGTGTGATAGCCCAGGATCTGGACGTCATGGTCTGCAGGCATGCCATGGTGCAGAGGAGCTGGAATGAGCTGTTAGAGGATGCTGCCCTAGCCACTCTGCTCAATTAGGCTTAGTCAGAGATGGTAACCTGAGCCAGCTGCAGCCTTCTGAGAAGACAGAGTCTGCAGGGTTTTTGAGGAAAACCTTGAGCAGAGTAAACATCTCTGTCTTCTACTCACCCTGTGATAACCATAAGGAGATTCTTGGTTCTGATACTGAGTGGCCAGTTCTCTGGAATTGAGGTCTAGGGTGAAGGGCCTAAGCCGTGGAGTCTGCAGATACCATCTTGGGCACTAGCCTTGTCCTTGTGAGCGGCCTATCCGCCAGGTCTCTCCTCCTCTGGGCCACAGTGACCTCTTCTCTAAGTGGATTGCTTGTCAGCCTTGGCATGTCAGTTTCGTCTCAGATGCTGGGCACCACTATTGGCTCTAAGTGGCCTGAAGAATCATGGTGAGGGTTTGAGACATCAGGCAGGACCCCTGGTGGGGTCTCGGACAGCAAGCCCTGGGTGTTGCCAGCTGTTCAGATTTTTAGCACAGGTTCTCAAAAGGGTTGGAAAGGGGCAGTTGGCTGTGTGTGCCAGGCCTGAAAGGACAGAGGCTGGAGTTTGCCCAGGTGGCAGAGTTCTTCTTGCAGCAATTAAGCACCTAGCTTATGAGAGGAAAAATAAGGCTTCAGAGGTGAGTTTTAGTCATCGCTTGCTTTAAAATCTCTTTAACCTTAGAGAAGCTGCTAGTAGCATCCCTCACATCTCAAGTAATGCAGGTGGGTACTCTTCCCACAGGAGGTGTCTGTGGACATTTGCTGATGATGGACATTTGATGCTGTGTAAGAAAAGCATCCAAGTGGAGGAGAGTTTGATCCAAGACTTCTTTTTTCCTAGTCAGACAAAAATAATCCATTTCATAGAAGAGAATTTGGGTAGGATCAAACTGGAAAGTGGGGCAGCTGGGATTGTGGCTCAGTGGTAGGGCAATTGCCTAGCACATGTGAGTCATTGGATTTGATCCTTAGCACCACATAAATAAATAAATAAAGGTATTGTGTTCATCTACAACTTAAAAATAAGAACTGGAAAGGGGGTGAAAAATCAACATAATCCCATCCTACAGAGATGATCTCTCATGAATGAGTAAATACATTGAATCAGAAGTTCTTGCTCTGGGCTGGGGATGTGGCTCAACCGGTAGCGCGCTCGTCTGGCATGCGTGCGGCCCGGGTTTGATCCTCAGCACCACATACAAACAACGATGTTGTGTCTGCCGATAACTAAAAAAAAAAAAAAAATATATTAAAAAAATTCTCTCTCTCTCTCCCTCTATCACTCTCTCTTTAAAAAAAAAAAAATGTTAAAAAAAAAAAAAAAGAAGAAGTTCTTGCTCCTGTTTCCTATGTCAAAAGTAGTAAGTTCACTGCTTGGACAGTGTCTGCCATTTCTTCTTCAGTCAAAGTGAATATTAAGAGCAGTTTTGGGTTTTTTTTTTTTTTTTCCTCGCTGTACTAGAACTAGAATCCAACCAAGTTGGATGCAGCTCTATCACTGAGCTGTATCCCCACCCCTTAAAAGAAGTTCTTAAATATTGTTTTTTGGATGAAGCTGTTAAGATGTGGTGGCCAGAGCTGTTTTTCCTTGTTGCCTCCAAAAAGTTCTTCAACTGTAGCAGTACCAGAAGCTCCAAGAGCAAAGCAGTGTCACACTAGACTCATTTTCATGGCACCGGGAATCAAACCTAGACCTTTGTGCATGCTAGAAAAGGGCTGTACCCCTGAGCTGTGTTCCCATTCTCCAAACAGAGTCACTCTGAAAGATGGAAACAAACAGGTACAGAAACCATGAGCAAAGAGCTGCATCAAGCCAGGGAGAACATGGGGGGGGCGGGGCCAGCTGGGGTTTAGAGGCCTCTGGAGTGAAGCCTGCTGTTCTGTGGTGAGAACTTTCTGGGCTGCCATGGCAGCCCAGGTGGACCAGGGGGGCTGAATGGGGATGGAGGTCAGTTCCCTTAAAATCTGAATTAATCTTTTCTTAAGCTTTTTGTTGCAATAATATACAGAAAAGTTGCAAAAATATTCTCCTCATGTGAATTCCCATATGTGAATCTTTTCCCATTTTGTTTTCTTTTTCCCCCATTCTGCTAAGGCCTCAGGCTCCTGCATGTCCCTATAGTCCCTGATATTCTGGAATGGTTCCTCAGTTTCTGCCCTTTGTGACCTTGACATGTTACAGCTCACATTAATCAGTTTGCAGTATATATGCTGGTCTGGCTTTCCTGTAACCTGGTAGCCAGACTCATTCTCTGAAGTAATACTCAGGGCTGCCGAGTCTGGGACATCTTGACCGCATACAAGATGGGCAGGCAGGAGGGGCACAAGACAAGATGTGAGAAGAGGCCTGGTCTTCTACTTCCTCTCCCCGTGTGTGCTGCTCCCCTTGTGAAGGACCCTGCCAGGGTTTTGCCCAGCCAGTTCCTGGCCCACCTGACTCCCTGGCATCTGACAGTGTACTGGAGAGAACAAGAATGTCCCCAGCATTCACCTGCTATGCCTCTCACCCTGACCTCCCCAGCTAACTTCCAGTTTGTTCAGGGACAGGACCAGGGCTATTCTCTTCTCCAGCTAGCCTGTGTGAATGAACAGGGAAGCCAGCTTCCCCTTTGCTCATCTTTCCATGCCAACACCTCAGTTCCCAAGATCAGGGATTCTCTTAGGAGCAGCCCTTCTGTCCAGCAGACTTCTGTGGTGATGGGCATATTCTCATTTGTGCTGTCCAATCCAGTGGGCCCGTGAACATTTCCAATGTGTCTTAGGGAGCTGAAGAAAGGGGATTTTAATTATTTTTCTTCCCTGGTGCTGGGGATAGAAACCAGGTCCTGATACTTGTAAGGCCAGGTCTCTTCCACTGAGCCACACCCCAAGCCCTGGTTTTCCTTTTAATTATTTTATGTTGAGACAGTCGCCTGTGACCAGGGCACCTGTACTAGACAGCACAACTGTGAACAGTCTGGCTGAGTCCCTTTCAAAGGGCAGGTGGTAA